CTATGAAGTAAGTTCAAGTGCTGTTATTGTTCCCATTTTACAGATAATGGAATGAGATTTAGTAGAATAAAGTGAAATACCCAAAGTCACACAACTGGTATAGAGCTATGATTTGTCAGAGCCCAGATCCTATGCTTAGCCTTACTTCCACATCAGGCACTAAGACTAACATATAATAAATGTACTAATTTAGTGCAATTATTTATTAATGTTAATTCAACAAACACATTTTGAGTGCCTACTACTAGCCAACCCAGGGCAAATCCCTGATCTCAAGGAGCTTACAATCTAATGGAGTTTACAATCCAATCTTTTTTTTTTTTTTTAAGATTTTATTTATTTGACAGAGAGAAAGTGAGAGTGTGCACACAAATGGGGGAGGAGCAGCAGAGAGAGAGGGAGAAGCAGGCTCCCCACTGAGCAAGGAGCCCAATGTCAGGCTGGGCTTGATCCCAGGACCCAGAGATCACCACCTGAGCGAAGGCAAATGCTTAACAGATTGAGCCACCCAGGCGCCCCCTCGTGGAGTCTTTAGAATGGAGTCAAAGGTAGCTGCTTTTTTTTTTTTTTTTTTTTAAGATTTTATTTATTCATTTGACAGAGAGAGAGATCACAAGTAGGTGGAGAGGCAGGCAGAGAGAGAGGAGGAAGCAGGCTCCCTGCTGAGCAGACCGCCCGATGCGGGGCTCTATCCCAGGACCCTGGGATCATGACCTGAGCCGAAGGCAGAGGCTTTAACCCACCGAGCCACCCAGGTGCCCCAAAGGTAGCTTCTTAATAGGGTGCCTTCCACCAGTATTCTCCACTTCTGATTCTGCTGGCCAATACTATTTATTGAGAAAAGAAAAAACTACTTCTAGTATAGAAAAAAGTAATTCATCGAGTCTCGTAACCTGGTAGACCTATCCAAACTCTTTTGCTCAAATACTGAGCTGCCCAAACAATCTTCCAAATTTTATTTAGCAACACTGGGTTAAACCATTCCAGCAAGAGGAAATAAATACCCACTATAAATAACCTGTTTATCCTACCAAGGATATTGTTGTGAATTAATAGATAGGTATTCTGGTCTAGAAAGCAGCTGTGGGAGAGTTAGCATCAGTCAATCCTCAGGGCCAGTGCCATCCAGTGGAACTTTCCGTGATTCTGTTCAATAGGGTAGCTAGCCACATGTGGCTATTGAACATTTGAAATGCATGGAGGGAAACTGAAGAGGCGATTTGCAACGTTATTTAATTTTAATTAATTCAAATGACCACATGTAGCTAGTGCCTCTGGATTTGAACACCACAGCTCTAGATCCTTGCTACTCAAAGTGTGGTCTGCATCGCCTTATTAGGTTACTAGAAATACAGACTCTCAGGTCCCACCCTAGCCCTCTAGATTCCGAAACTTATGTTGACCAGACCCACAGGTGCTCCGTATGCACATTAAAGTTTGAAAATGGCAGGGTTACTTTTGGATGAGCTGAAAAATAAAAGGATGAAGACCAAATACTGAAGACCATATTTGTGGTAACCTCTCCAAATTGCAGACACCCACACTTGAGACTGGTGTCCAGCATCAAGGGCCTGCTTTCTTTTCTTTCCTTTCCTTTTTTCTTTTCTTTTCTTTTCTTTTTTTTTCTTTTTTTTTTTTTTAAGATTTTCTGTTTTTATTTCAAACAGAGAGAGAGTAACGAGAGGTGGGAAGGAGCAGAAGGAGAGGGAAAGAAACAGACTCCACTGCTGAGAGGGAGCCCCACATGGCTGGAACCCAGGACCCTGGGATCATGGCCTGAGCCAAAGGCTGACATTTAAACAGCTGAGACACCCAGGTACCCTTAGGGGCCTTCTTTCTTTGTATCTTCCTCTCCTTCATTCCTTAAACAGAAAGGGGGAAAGGGAAAGAAACGTAGAATATGGGGTCCAAGGAAAGTTAGTGTTGGATAGGGGGTGGGGAATGGGATGGGAAGAGCATGTGATTCTCAGGGATACGTATACAAAATAAATGATGAACTTCCCTTGATAATTACTGGATATGGATGACAGGTATATGAGAGTTCATTGTACCATTTTCTCTGCCTCTGTATAACTTGGAAATTTTCGGGGCACCTGGGTGGCTCAGTGGGTTAAAGCCTCTGCCTTCGGCTCAGGTCATGATCCCAGGGTCCTGGGATCGAGCCCTGCATCAGACTCTCTGCTCAGCGGGGAGACTGCTTCCTCCTCTCTCTCTACCTGCCTCTCTGCCTACTTGTGATTTCTGTCTGTCAAATAAAAAAAAAAAAAAAAAAAAAAACCTTGGAAATTTTCAAAATTAAAAAATAGATGTGATTTCAAAGATGATGGGTGTGGGGCACCCGGGTGTCTCAGTTGGTTAAACGTCTGTCTGCCTTTGGCTCAGGTCATGATCCCTGCGCCCTGGGGTCAAGCCCAGCATCAGGCTCCCTGCTTGGTGGGAAGCCTGCCCCCCTGCTTGTGTTTTCTTGCTGTCTCTCTGTCAAATAAATAAATAAAATCTTAAAAAAAAAAAATGATGGTGTGTGTCCTAACCTCCAAGATGGCCCCCAGTGAGCCTATCCTTCTAGTATTCGTGCCTTTGTGTAGTCTTTCATATTGAATCAGGGCTGGTCCATGAAACCAAAGTGGAAAGAGCAGGCATGACACTAGAGAGGTAGTGATTTCTGCCTTGCTCTCTCTTGGATCTCTTGCTCTAAAGGAAGGCAGCTACCATGCTGGGAGGACACTCAAGCAGACTTGTGGAGAGGCCTTTAATAGGAGCCAAGACCTCCTGCCAACAGCCAGCGGTGAGAACTAGCCATGTGAGCAAGCTTCTGTGGAGTTGATTTTCTTTTCTTTTCGATCTTTTTTTTTTTTTAAGACTTTATTTATTTATTTGACAGACAGAGATCACAAGTAGGCAGAGAGGCAGGCAGAGAGGGGGTGGGGAAGCAGGCTCCCTACAGAGCAGAGAGCCCGATGCGATGCAGGGCTCGATCTCAGGACCCCGGGATCATGACCTGAGCCGAAGACAGAGGCTTTAACCCACTGAGCCACCCAGACGCCCCTGGAGTTGATTTTCTAGCCCCAGTCAAGCCTTCCAATATGGCTGCAACTGCCTGAGAGATCTCCAAGCCAGAACGGGCTGCCAAGCCACACCCGAATCTCTGACCAAAGGAAACTGTAAAAGGTACTCAATGTATATGATTGTATTAAGCCCCTGAGTTCTGCAGTAATTAGTTATGCAGCAATAGAGTACTGAAGCAACTTCATCTCAGCATTTCCTACTCCTTGAATATCCTCTCCACCTTATCACTAATGCCTCAAATGAATAGGACAAAACCTTTCCCACAATGTGTAAACATGCTAATACCCTTTGAAGAGATAATACATTCACTTAAATTCAATGTAAAACATATGTGACTGATAGAAATTCTTTCTTTTTAAAACTTAGCAAGCTAATAATGTATTGAGACATTCACTTCAGTCTGGCTCCTGCTGTTGTAAGAGACTGGAAAGAATAAAAAGGTAATTTCTCCCTCAGGGTCTACCATCCCAAGAACAGCTATAGTCTTGAGTTATAAGGTCTAAGATTTTCTTACATCTCCCTCACTCCATGCCCAACGCGCGCACCACCCCCCCCCCGACACACACATACTGGTTAACAGCTTCTTGATGCTAAGAGGCACCAGGGTGGCTCAGTTGGTTAAGCCTCTGCCTTCAGCAGGGGTCATGACCTCAGAGTCCTAGGATCAACCTTGGGTTCCAGGCCCACTAGGGAGTCTGCTTCTCCCTCTGCCCCTCCACCCCACTCATGCACTCTCTCCCTCTTCCTCTCTCTCAAATAAATAAAAAAATCTTTAAAAAAAACAACAACAACAAAATGGGGCCTCTGGGTGGCTCAGTGGGTTAAGCCTCTGCCTTCTGCTCAGGTCATGATCTCAGGGTCCTGGGATCGAGTCCAGCATCCTGCTATCTGCTCAGCAGGGAGCCTGCTTCCCTCCCCCTTTCTCTGCCTCCCTCTCTGCCTACTTGTGATCTCTGTCAAATAAATAAATAAAATCTTAAAAAACACACACAACCCCCCCCCCAAAAAAACAGCTTCTTGGTGTTAAAGAAGACCACCACCCCGACCTCTCACTCACCAACCCCCCCATCCCAGCTTTATCTTGAGGATTAGGTAATAGAGAAAATATGTTGGAATTGCTCCATAAGGGGAGGGGAAAGAGCTGGGATTGATTCAAGAAGAGGGCAAGTGGTCAGGCCAAAGGGGTGAATGACTTTCCCCAGGCTGGGAAAGATTTCCGAGTTTCCAGAAGTGGAAGCCTGTCCCTGGCTTGCACTGTGTGTGTGTGTGTGTGTGTGTGTGTGTGTGTGTATTGCAGTGGGGATCACTTCATGGGAAGTCTGGGCAAGTGGGATTCTGGGGCCTGGCTATGCACCCCAGACCACACACCCTTACCTCCACTCCTGCCCATCTGGCTTGCAGACTTTGGAAAGGTACCCTTCGGTGGTACCCCAAGGGTGGGGGAATAATAACATCAAGACTGAAACAAACACAAAAACAAGGCTCTTCCCCAAATCCTTCCCCCAAATTTGTGAGACTTCACAGCCCTAGAGAGAAAAGTGGAAGAACCTCAGAACGTGACTAATGAATTTCCCGCCAACACTGACAGGCTGGAGCTGAGCCAGATTGCTTTAATTCGTAGGATTAGAAGACATGTGATGCTTCTTGCCCCGGAGTCAGTTGCAGCGAATTCATTCCTGCTAGACCTAGTTTCCCTGGGAGCGGTTTCGGTAGGTGGAAGGGTGGGGGAGAGTGGATAGAATTCAAGAAGGTGGAGGAAGTAATAGGGGAGCTAGGGGCCAGAATCCCCTCCTGCTGCTTTCGGTCCCCAGGTCCAGGCCCCCGACTCCCTCCAAGAGAGGACAGCCCGCGCGCGGCCGACCCTCCGGCTCCGACACAAACACACGCACGTGCGCCCCGCCCCCGCCGCGCGCACGCGCCCCGAGGCTCTGGCGGCGGCGACGGGCGCGCGCGCGGTGCTCGCTGCCCCCACGCCGCTCTCTTCGCTCGGATCGCTGCGCCTCCCGCTCCCCGCACCGCTCCACGCGGGACCCGCGGAATCGGAGGCGGCGGCCGTGGTCGGTGGGCTCTTGCAGGTGCAGCGGTCGAGGCAGCGGCGCGCGGGGAGCAGAGCGGAACCCGGCAAGTCCTCGGGAGGCGATGTGGCCGGGCGCGGGCCCCTGCGTAAGGCGGACGCCGCGACAGGCCGGCCGGTGAGGCGCCGCTTGGGGGAGGCCGCGACGGAGCTCCCGGACCCGCCATGGGCTGAGACACGTCCTTGCCGAGCAGGTGCAGTGACCAGCGGTCCCGGGGGTGCTCGCTCCGACAGGCCCCGGGAACCCTCAACCCTGTCAGTAGGTGCCCTACCCAGCCGGTGCCCTGTTGACCTTCCCTCGGCTTCTCCCTAGAGGCGCTGCAGACCCCGCCATCAAACTCGGCCCCCTGTGCAGCCCCTGTGAAACCAGCAGCCCCTAACATCCCGAGCATACCCCCATCCTACACTCCTGTGACCCGAGCCCGGTAGGCCCCTGTGCTCTCCTCCTCTGCCCAGTGTTTTGAGACCACTGTTTGCACAGCGTTTGGAAACTACCCAGCATCTCTCTTCGTTTCTCTTCTAGGCCAACATAGGGGTGGGGGCGGAGCGGGGGCAGGGGGGGTGTGACAGAGAGGAGGAATGGTCAGTCCTTCCCTGCAGAGGCCCTGGTCACCCCCAAGCCCCTCTTCCCTCTCTCTCAAGCCTGTAGTGAAAGTGCCCCTTCCTTATCCCACCAGAACATGCCCGGGTGACTCTCTCCCAGATCTTCCTAGTGGCCTTCCTCGCCCTTCCCAGTGACACTATGCAACCCCAGCGTGACCCTCGAGGCCTCTGGCTCCTGCTGCTGTCCTTGTTCCTGCTCCTCTTTGAGGTGGCCAGGGCCGGCCGGCCGGTGGTTAGCTGCCCTGCCGCCTGCCTGTGTGCCAGCAACATCCTCAGTTGCTCCAAGCAGCAGCTGCCCAACGTGCCCCACTCGTTGCCCAGCTACACCGCACTGTTAGACCTCAGCCACAACAACCTGAGCCGCCTGCGGGCCGAGTGGACCCCCACACGCCTGATCCACCTGCAGTCCCTGCTGCTGAGCCACAACCACCTGAACTTCATCTCCTCCGAGGCCTTTTCCCCAGTCCCCAACCTGCGCTACCTGGACCTGTCCTCCAACCAGCTGCGTACACTGGACGAGTTCCTGTTCAGTGAGTTGCAGGCGCTAGAGGTGCTTCTGCTCTACAACAACCACATCGTGGCGGTGGACCGCTGCGCCTTCGATGACATGGCCCAGCTGCAGAAGCTCTACCTGAGCCAGAACCAGATCTCCCGCTTCCCCCTGGAACTGGTCAAGGAAGGAGCCAAGCTACCCAAGCTCACCCTCCTGGATCTCTCGTCCAATAAGCTGAAGAACTTACCGCTGCCCGACCTGCAGAAGCTGCCCGCGTGGATCAAGAACGGGCTGTACCTACATAACAACCCCCTGCACTGCGACTGTGAGCTCTACCAGCTCTTTTCCCACTGGCAGTACCGGCAGCTGAGCTCCGTGGTGGACTTCCAGGAGGACCTGTACTGCATGAGCTCCAAGAAGCTGCACAACGTCTTCAACCTGAGCTTCCTCAATTGCAGCGAGTACAAGGAGCGCGCCTGGGAGGCCCACCTGGGAGACACCTTGACCATCAAGTGCGACACCAAGCAGCAGGGGATGACCAAGGTGTGGGTGACGCCTAGCAACGAACGGGTGCTCGATGAGGTGGCCAACGGCACGGTGACGGTGTCCGAGGATGGCAGTCTGCATTTCCAGCAGGTGCGGGTTGAGGATGCGGGTGTGTATACCTGCTACGCCATGGGGGAGGCTTTCAACGAGACCCTGTCTGTGGAGTTGAAAGTGTACAATTTCACCTTGCACGGCCACCATGACACCCTCAACACAGCCTATACGACCCTCGTGGGTTGCATCCTCAGTGTGGTCCTGGTCCTCATATACCTGTACCTTACCCCTTGCCGATGCTGGTGCCGGGGAGTCGAGAAACCGTCCAGCCATCAAGGAGACAGCCTCAGCTCATCCATGCTTAGCACCACACCCAACCACGATCCTATGGCTGGCGGGGACAAGGATGATGGTTTTGACCGTCGGGTGGCCTTCCTGGAGCCTGCTGGTCCCGGGCAGGGCCAAAACGGCAAGCTCAAGCCAGGCAACACCCTGCCAGTGCCCGAGGCAACCGGCAAGGGCCAGCGGAGGATGTCGGATCCGGAGTCGGTCAGCTCGGTCTTCTCTGATACACCCATTGTGGTGTGAGCAGGATGGGTTGGTGGGGAGATTCTGCCCCAGGAGAGGTAATGCACCCCTGAAGGATATGAGGGGATGGAAGAGCGGGCTGGCTGCCCAAGGGAGTGGGTTCCCCCCCCGACCTCCAGGGAACTGGTCACGGGTACAACAGCTGGCAAGTCCTCAACCAGGGTGTGGTTGCCACGATTTCCAAATAGGGATATATTAATCCTCAGGCAAGTGCTACACCCTTACCCCCCAAGCCCTGGGAATTCTCTGTGCGGTGGAGGAAGAGGAGCATGTCTGAGTTGGGTGGGAATGAGGAAGGGGTGGGGGGAAGAGCAGATACCCTAAACTTTTTCGAGGTCATCCTTAGCTCCTTAAGAGAAAATCATCTGGGGGAAAAAAATTTTTTTTCTATCTCTGCCCACCCACACCTGTGATGTTGTGTGTGTTGGGGGGCGGATCTTCCACAGGAGCCGCACTGGGAAGAGCTGGGGTGTCTTCTTTGGCCAGGAAGTCACACTTCACAGCTGGGGAAATTGGAAACCTTTGGAAAAATGAGTCAGGAAAAGGCTGAGACCTCAATCAGTAACGCTCCCCAAAGCTGTTGTGATTTCGCACTAATGCCTCTCTTTCCCGATGAGTCCTGGACGGACGTATCTTTGCGGGAGCCTGGCCTATTGCCTATGAGGTACAGCAACAACGTGAGACGTGGTCTCTGTGCCAGGCCCTGGAACCAGGGGCACAGAGGGATACAGCTTGACCTGAGGGGTCTGTATCATGGCATGGGTGCCGGCACAAAACTCGTAGATGGGGCATAAACTCCAGGTTTGCTAATTCTCTGGTTGGTGAAACCCTTGGTTAGCACTTGGTTCCCAGCACCTGTGTGTTAGACCAGGGTGGGGGCTGCTGAAGGCAGAGATTTTATGCATGCCTGCCACAGACCTGGGAAGGGGGGCCACTTCAACCCTAGGAGGAGGAGGAGAGTAAAGCAGCCTCCGTTACGTAGCATTCAGCTGGGCCTACCTGGTTTCCTGATGCCATCTTTTCTCTCAGTGTCCTTAGCAAGCTCAGGTGGGATTGAGTTTTCCCTAATATGCTGCTCTGCCAGTGGAGGAAGCCTGGAGAGTCTGGCTCGAAGCTGCGTGAGGCTGGTCCTGGGGATGGAGGGGACTAGTTATGGATCTCTATGTTGAGAAAGCAGGCTTGGTCCTCTCTTAGATCTCATCCTGCTGCAAAGCCAAAGCATGGGATTTCATCACCCGGGGAGGGGGGTGTGGAATTGGATGGTCTCTGCCCCAGAATGGCAAGCTGGAGTGCTGCTTAGAGTTCTGGCCCGCTCCACAAGGTTCCAGGCAGTCTTGTTTACAGAGACACTGGCACTAAACTTTCCACAGGAAAGTTCTGCCACCGCCATCCCTCTCAGCCAAAGGTCTGTGCAGTTGCTGGTGGTCAGGCCGGGGGAACTTAAGAGCAGACCCAACATTCCCTTCCATTCAGGGTTGCAGAACACTTTGGGTATGGAGATGACTGCGCCCTTTGACTATCCCGCAGGCCCGGGGAGACTGGTGCTCTGAGCTTTGGCAAAGGGATGAGCAGGGCAAAGGTGAAAATGTTCTCTGACGTTGGTCTTTTTCAGTGTCTCCCCTTCTCCCAACCAAGTTCCCTGTCCGTTGGAAGTTCTCCAGATCTTCTGGTTTTCGGACCTGCTCTCTAGGTTCCAAGGGGTATGTCCTCTACCTGTGGGTGAGGGCTGCTTGCTAGGAGGGCCTGACTCCCGCTGCCTATTAAGATTGGGAAAGGGGACTGGAACTCAACATCTTCCTTGTCTGTTCCTGGGATGTCAAGACTGCTGTCCATCCTTTCTCAGTAACCTAGTTTGTCAAGAGAGATGCAGCATTTCCCTCAAGTACTTGCATGCTCCTGGGTATGCATGCTTCCAAGTGTTCGAGCACACTAGCGACTTGACTTCCCTCAGGACAGTGACTCTGCAGTCCCCGCTAAAGACCCCGGTCACAGTGGGTTCCACCTATGTGCCCAGCCTCATGCACACAGCTATCTTGCTCCGTAGGAGAGACAGTGACCACGCCAGGCTCCCCAGATACAAACTCTTGTACTTTTAATTTCCGAACTCCCTGAAGCTTTCCCCGCACATCCGTGGCACTGAGTAACTTCTCTACGAAGGCTGGAGTTAGGAGAACAGCAGGCTGGCGACCTGGGGAGGAGGGATGCTGAGGAGCTGGCTGGTTCTTCAGACCCCTCAGAAACCTTCTCAGATTAAAGACAATATACATGAGAAATAAATGCAGAACTAGGTCAATGATGGTGTCAGAAGGAGACGGATAGCGGAATAAGCAGCTATAAGTTGTTTTTCCTTTGTTAACTGCCCTGGAAAGACAGGGGCATGAAGGAAAAGTTGTCTTGTTATATTCCACAGACTTCTGAGGCTTTTGGTCCTGGCCGTCCTCCTCAGACTTATTAGGGCACTGGGGGAAATCTCATCTCCATGCTGCAGTTTCCCACTGGGCACCACTTAGGGCTCTAAAAATCTTTAAAATAGATGTCGAGTGAAGTTGGCCTTCTGGAGCCTTTTGAGCTCCTGAGGACTAGGAGGGCCAATTTCTTCAGAAGTCCTACCCAGCTTAGGGAATAAGAAAAGACCCCGAGGCCCTGCGTCTCCCTACTGTATCCACTAGGTTGGCCCCTCGTTTGAACTACTGGTAGATGTGTCTGGCTGCCCCACCAGGACATTGAACTGATTAGCCTCTTCCCGTGGTTTCAGTTGTTAGAACCCAAAGGTAGGTTTCTACTTGGGGGATTAGGTACTCAGCATATATAAGCTCACTAGAACCTTGTGTAGGAAACTGCCAGGTCTGATCATAAGAACAAGCTGAGAAATCTCTCCCTCCCTTCCCCCCACCCTGAACTCATAAAACAGACATATCTCCCAGGAAGCAGGTGTCCCTGGAGACAGAATATGGCAGAGCTCTACAATCTGTCTATGTGATTGTTTGTGATCTTTTTTTCTTTTGCCTGTATTTATGGGGCTCCTAGGAAGGGGCCAGGAGAGGGTACAGCCCAGCTGGGGACAGTAAAGCTGACTGATTCCCATTTTCTGTGTGTTCTTACCTCTGTACTTCCTTGTCGCCCTGCTGGCGAAGCAAGCAGGCCTCCCTGTGTCCAGGACCCCGTCCCTCCCACTTATGTACACCCAGGCTGGCAAACCTTGGAGCCTCTGGGCTCTGAAAACTAGACCATGATCATTAAACCTGGCTTGAGTCTCCCTTTGGGCAGTCTGTGACTGGTTTATTTATCTTTTCAGCCTGTGGGTGGGGCTCACTGTGCCTCCTAAGTGTGTGGCCTAAGGAGAGGATTTTTTTAACATTTTATTTATTTATTTGACAGAGAGAGACACAGAGAGAGAACGCAATTTATTTATTTATTTATTTTTAACATTTTTATTTATTTATTTGACAGAGACACAGTGAGGGAGGGAACGCAAGCACGGGGAGTGGGAGAGGGAGAAGCAGGCTTCACACTGAGCAGGGAGCCCGATGTGGGGCTCCATCCCAGGACCTGTGACCTGAGCCGAAGGCAGACTCTTCATGACTGAGCCACCCAGGTGCCCCTTAAATGCTGTTCTAAAGGCAAGGGTAGAATCCACATCTGGGCATGAAAATAGACCAAGGTCAACGAACTTTCTTCTGTGAGGAGCCAGACAGTCAATATGTTAGGCTTTGCAGGCCAGATGCTCTCTGGTAGAGCTACTCAGTCAGGCCATGGTAGCAGGATGGCTACCACAGATAGTATGTGAACTGATGAGTGAGGCTCTGTTGCAGTAAAACTTTATTTACACACATTGAAATTTGAATTTCATATCATTTTCATGTGGCTTTTGAGTTTTTTCAACCATTTAAAAATATAAAAACTTTATTACCACAGATCATACAAAACCCAGCAGTGGCTGGTTTTGGCCAGCAGACCATAGTTTCCCAACCCGATAGATTCTCAAAAGAAATGTCACTGATGCTGTAGCAGGAGAGAGTTTAGAAATTCTTTCACTTGGGGCTACTGCCTGTGGATAGTGGAGTCTTCCTGGATCCCTGGGGAGGAGGGAGGCCTCCCCACAGAGTTCTCTTAAAAGTCTGGATGAAGCCTTCTGACTGGGCTATGGAAAACCATTTGCCCTGGAGTAAAAAAGTCAGTGGAAAGCAGCTCAGTTTCGGTATTTTGATTATTACGTGTATATTTTTTTTCATACTGTAAATGGTAACTTTCTTAGTTTGGCTCAGAGCATATTAATTGAATGGGCAGATTAATATTCATTGACAGTTTAATGTGTCCTAGGCATTGCAAAGAACAGAGAAATGGAACCCCCACATTCTTGGTACAGACATAACCTACCAGAAATTGGACCAGATTCTACTAAACTCTGAACATGCAAATTCTTTGGCTATTCTCTTGGTACTTCTGGAAGGGGATTGTCATGGTAGAATCCAAGAGGGGAGAGGAAATGGTATAAGGAAAACAGAAATTAAAAACTTGAATTTGAATCATTACCTAATTTCCTGTATTGATAAAATCTTGCCCAAAGGGCAGCCCTTCTCTGTCTGGAAAGTTGTCCTGTTCTCTTCATGAGGAACCACCAAAGTGATGAGGGAATGGAGTCACTCACCAGCCACATCAGACAAATCAACCTTGGCAGATGTCAATGCTAGAGTACCCCCATAGTCTACATTTACATGGCGTTTTTTCATTTTTTTAAAGCATTTTTTTGCTGTGGCTGACATTGGCCAAGAAGAGGATGCTGGTTAAGAGAATAGGTCTGGGAAGATTCCTGAGTGTTCTCCCATCATGGCCTGTGCCTAGCCCTGTCTCTGAGCCTGAAAAGTTTTGGTGCTCCTTTCCACCATCATGCCAAAGAAGTCCATGGCTGCATCTCAGCGCCCCCACCCCCAAGGCACAAAAAACTCCCAAAGGTTCTGGTCAAGATTGCAATTTTGTCTGCCATGTCTTGCGGCACTCTTCTTAGCTCCTCGTAGGTGGCATTTCAGGGGAGTGGGGGAGGCTAATAGGACAGCTGCCTTGTAGAACAGAACCTGAGAGTTCAGTTGCACTGGCCAGCCTTGTCTCCCTTCCTCTTGATCTCTCACCTCCTTCCCTTTGCAGTTGTAGTTCTTGTACCGCTGACCTTGTCTCACAGGAAACCACCTTCCCCGTCCACACTGTAGAAAAGGCTCAGACCTGTGCAGTAGGAAGGTTGGCTTTTCTGGTCTGCTACAGTGAGCCTTTGCTTCCTCTCCTGGGGCTTGAGAGAGGAAGGCTAAGGCAGCTGCCACATCAAGCCCCTTCATTGGGCTAATATGCCATCGGGTAGGAGATCCCAAGTGGTAAAGATACATAGACCTGCCCTGAGGCCTTCCAGTCTCCATCAGCCGGGTTACTGTCCCAGAAACAGAGGGTGTGGAACCGTGGACTAAGAGAACTATCCCTCCGCGAGCTAGCACACAGAGCCCTGCAGGGAGCCCTCCAGGCACCCTATGGCACTGGCATACATAAGGTGAGAGTCACTGGCACCAAAGTTAGGGGTGTGTGCATGCATATGTGTGTGTCTTGCACAAACATGCACGCAGGGTGAGGATCACCGCAGCTGGACAGAGCTTGGTGCTGCTTTCCCCTCACCTCCCACTGCTCCCTCGCTTGGCCATAGTTGGCTTTTGGCGGGGTCCAGCCGGAAAGGCCCAGTTCCATCCTGGGCATCCTTAGAAAGCATGGGGAGATAACTCACAATCTGCTTTAAAGAGAGGGGTGCTGGGGGCCCCTCATGCGTACTCAGTGAGACAGAGCTGGGGCCTCTGGTACCACAGAATGGCCTTTAGTAGCTGTTTAATCTGCTTTTGGTGGAGATTGAAAAAATCATCTGGGAAATTCCTACGATAACGGGTAGATTAAAAACTGGGGCTCTTATTCCCTGCACGTTGGTGACTAGCCAAGCCTTCTGGGTGGATGGGTGGGGGAAGGCTGTCTTACTGGAGGTATTTTGGGTCTGCTTTAAGCTTAGCCCCGTGCTGGGAACTATCTTCTTCAAACCACCCTCGAGTCTGGGGCCCTGTGGTTCTGCACCATCACCTAGGTCTTCTCTATGACTGTGCTGGTAAAAGACGTGCCAGGGCTATGCCCACAACACCTGACTAGTGTCTCATTGCCAGATCCCAGGTTAGGGAAAAAAAAAAAAAAGATAAAAACCTGAATACACAATACACAGCCTCTGCACGCCTGTGATTCCTGCCTCCTCCGCGTGCACCCCAGGCGGACTGCGGGCAGTTCTCAAATGGAATGGAAAGTATTCTTCCCCTAATTTAACATTTAAATAGAACTGCCTTCCTGGGGTGTGTGTGTGTGTTTTAATTCCTATAAAGTCCTTTGAGGAGGAGGGGACTGGATCCTCCCCCACAAGCCTATAACAGGGAAAGAGAAGCCTGTGACCAAGCTAGGTGCTGCGTGTCACACCTCTGCATCTCCAGTGTCTGGTATGAAGGCCTGAGGCTGGCCTTGCTCAGCCTGGGGCTACAGGGGAAATCAGAGTGAGGGAAGGGGGCAGTGTTGTGTCCATTACCGTTGCTCCTGCCTTCCTGGCTGGACTGCTCCACTCTGCTTTTCCTTCAGAAGCGCAGAATTAGGTAGGAGAGACTGGAAAGACGTGGGACCTGCTCTAGAAACTTCAGGCTGGATGAGGGGACAAGTGCACTGACTTCCAAATTTACAATCAGCCCCATGCCCTGAAAACACTAGGCAGGCGGCACTTAGGGCTGGCTTTGCTAGGGTCATAACTTTGGTCACAGAGTGCACGACAGCTGGCCTTGCATCTAGCAGGAGGAAATGTGTGTGTGTTCCCTTTTGATGACCAACAAAACAACCTGAGACTTGGGTCCCCAGGGCCTGGTATCCGTAACCATTGACCGCCTCCCTGAAAAGAAGCATCAAACCCAGAGCCAGGCCGAGTAAGAAAGAGTCAAGGACAAGAACATACTTAGAAACACATCTGTTTCCATTTGTTTAATGCTTTGGACTTTCCAGTGCCTGTTCACATGCATTCTCTGCTGACCCTCACAACACCCCTGTGAGGTAGGGGGAGCAGTGAGCCGCTCACCTGTGGCCACACTGCTGTTAGGAGCTCAGCAAACCCAGTCCTGGCTCCCAGGTCAGTGCTGTGCTTTTCACTGCCTGATCCATAGGCTCTTGCGTCAACCAGATACGGGGGCAACAGAGCACTAACCCAAAAGCCTCCCTGTTCCCTAAGCCCCCTAGACTGTGATCCCCACGTCTGCCTTCGTCAAGTGAGAAGGCCTTAGTAATTTACTCAGGGGGTGCTTGGGGCCCACTCCCGGAGGAAAGAAGCCTCAAGCCACTGCTAGGAAGTGACCCTCTAACCACCCCCCTGCTCTCCCCATTCCATTACACTCCAGCCGCCCAGGAGGAGGGGGAAGGTGAGGGCTGGCTGACTCAGCCTGCAAGTGCCTGGAGCTCTGGAGCTGAAAGGCCCCAGCACTGTGCAGCTAATGATTATTATTAACTCTGAGCAGGCCTTGGCACAGCAGCCAGCTGGCTCGGGGAGGATGCCTAGATCTCCCACAGCGAGGTTTGAAAAACAAGACCCAGAGCAGCCATGCACGGGGGTGGAAGGGTGGGGACAATGAGAAAGAAGGGACAGGCTGGTGTCAGGAACCAGAAGGGGCAGTGTGCCCTGGGGGGCTGTAGGGTGAGGAGGAACAGGCCAGCAAGGGACAGCAGCCCACCTTTGATGCAGCTCAACAGCCAAGGGGAGGCTGGAAGACTTCCCCAGACACAGCGCCCAGCCACCATCCAACACAAACCCCAGCCCCAGGCAGGTGGGGGGTGGGGGAGGGTGTGCTCCAGGGAAGGCGTGGTTGGTGGTAGGGGAGATGGGAGGGGTCTGAACCCAGAACAGTAATCCTGTTACCATTTGGATTTGGTTACAAAAAACATCTACATTTCTAATGTCCTCAAGGTTGAGTTTGAAATATAATCATATTTGGAATCAAGTCTTAGTGAGCCTGATATGCAAATTTGTGCAAATAACGTGCGATTTTTTTTTTTAATTTGAGCACCCTGGTTGGTTGTTTTGTGTGTGTGTGTGTGTGTGTGTGTGTGTGTTTTAAGGCAAAACAGGCTGACTACTAGCAGCTTTCCCTACCCAGGCAACAAGGGCAAAAGGGCAGCCATTTGCTTCCTCCCCGCAAGGCCTCTGCCTCATTGTGGAGGTGCCCAGCTAACATCCCAGATGGGGAGATAGAGAGAGGTGGGGAGAACAGAGGGAGGAGGGCTAAGGGAGGAGGAAACGCACACAAGCAGGAGGCGTGTGCAGCCGGCAGCCACCCAGCTCCCAGCTGGAGGAAGAGTGCCCTGGCACTGAGGTCTAATGGTTGTCCAGCTGCTGCCCCAGGATGTGAGGGCAGGTGGCGATGGAGGGAGAGATGCAGAAGGAGGAGGGAAGTCCCCCCGACAATCTGGCAGACCAGGAAGAAGGGCTCCTCCTGGTGACCTACTCCCCATACTGCAGTCAGAGAGGCTCTGCAGAAGACCACCTGTGCCCTCCTCTCTGCCCTGTGCCCCTGCCCTCCAGGCCTCCTGGTCAGAGAGGTGACAGCTGGGGCCCCTTCCTCCTGCGGAATATAAATGACTTCCCCCTTCCTCCGAGGGCTGGGAATAGACATCAGCTGGCACAGCCCACGCAAACTACCGGCTGTCAGCCCGCCCGCCCGCCTGCCCAGCAGCCCCCGCACCACCTGGGAGCAGGCGACACCTCAGGCAGGCTCAGGCTTTATGGCGCTGGCTGCCTGGCTCACGGAAGCTGGTGAACCTCACCCCACTCTGTCACCCTGCCGTAGACAGAGTGAGACTCCCAGCACTGGCTGTGATGGGGGAGAGGAGATGGAGTCCCCGAGCAGTGACCCTCAATAACAATGTCCTTCATGCCATGCCGGGCACCATCTCTTCCAAGTTCAGACCACACTGGGTAGTCTAAGAGGGGAGAGAAGGCAAGCTGACAGGAATAATCACCCTCTGAAGGTGCAGAGACCCTCAGTTTAGATGCTCCAAGTCTGGAGAGCTCCCAGGAGACGCCATCTGACCCAGTGAGATCCGCTCAGAGGACTTCTGCCCTTGAGGTCCCCATTCCTAGACTGTTAAAACATGCCAACCTCCTTGCTTCTGAACCACTCAGGGAGGGAGGTCTTCAATCTTAGGAAGAGCCAGGGCTTCTAAATTACTGCCATCTAGGAGCTCCTGCCCTGCTCCCGGAACTGGGGCTCCAGCCCCTTCATCCAGGCCTCCTGCAGCTCCCACTGAGCTGTCCATCCCCCTCAACACCAGCTTTCCTGGCGTGGCTGTCTTCAGTCCTTGCCATGATCTATGGAGGTCCACCCCCGAGCGAGCCAGACCACAGTGAAACCAGTCTGGCACCCAGCTCACCACTGAGGAAAGCCTGGGGAACTACCCTCAGTTTGGAACAAGGAGTGGGTTTCTGCAGGGAAGAGGGCCCAGCCCCTTTTTGCCAACTGGCACCACACTCAGCCCCGTCCTAGGCCAAAGAGCTGGCAAGAGACAGCAACTGAGAAGAGCTTAGTTGAGAAGGGGAACCAGGGAGACTTTGTTTTTCCTAGACCAGAATAGCCCTACCCCACTTCCTTATTTTGTTCTAAAACCTTTGGAATACCTCCACAAAGGTATGTGCTAGGTCATGAACCTGAGCCCTAGGAAGGGCTATGAGAGGTTCAGGACAACTGTGCCACTCAGAACACCTGGCAGGGAAAGGCACTCACCCATGCCCTGCAGCCCTCAAGCCCAGATTCTGAGGTGGGCTGGAGAATGTTCTTAACCGAGCTAAGAAGCCCAGCCAGGAGCCAGAGGCTTGCTGAAGCCAATGCCCTTCCGCTCCTACAAAAGCTTTAAAGTGACTTCAGTGCTTTTAACTGTCTTGGAGTTCAAGAGAGCCTTGTCCAGGACTCTTCTCTCCACAGTGCCTGACCCCCTGTGCCCTAGTCCAGGAGCCCAATCAGCAGATTCCTGGAAGGCCACGGGGGCAGACCTGTCCCTCCAAAGGATAACGGGATAATGAATTTAGGAATGACATCTGAGTCTGCTTAGCGGTCCAGACCACGGTCCAGAGAGGGGAGTGTGTTTTTGTGGCATCAACCTGACAGACACTGAATATTGGAGATTGTTTAGAAACACTCACCCATGACACAGATGCGGAAACTGGTCCCGAGATGTGTGACTTGCCTAAGGTTGCCCAACAGACTCTATAAGAACCGTAACCCATGGTCTCCCTCCACACTGCTTTCTCGAAGACCCCCCACTCCCGCCAAAACCACTGTTGTCATTCATAAGTTACTGGAACCCAATTCTCCATCAGACACACAGGCAAGAAATGACTGTGAACACCCTCACCACCACCACCCAAAACTTCTGTCTCCCATCAAGAGTGGAGGCTTCAGGATCAAGCCTCCCCCGGCCCTGCCCACCACCTTCCACTGGCACCCAGTATACTTCCCCACTTTGACTCACTGAGCCGTCATCAGAAATAGCACTTTGGGTTTCTGCAGTTGCTAGCCCAGTTAAGAAGTATAAAACCCCTACTACTTCTGAAATGGATCCCCTGAAGGTCATCAAAGGGAACATTTAGGTCCAAGGCAAGTGTCCCACCTACATTCAGAGTTCGGAGGAGCTCACATTTCCATTTTCTTCTTTGGCAAGTAGGAGCTGGAGATCTGGTGCATGATCACCAGGGCTGGATAGAGGGGCAGGGCCAGGCACAGGTACCAGGCTGTGCCTTTGATCTGGGCCTGGAACCACACTGAGTACATGCCCAGGAGCACCGTTACTGTAGCCAGCAGATAGACTACCAGTCCACAAGTCAGATGGTAGAGCTTGAGGCGAGCCACTCTTGAGACCCTGGCTGCTCGAGGACAGAGGAGGCAGAACCCACACAGTGCCTGACCACTAGTGGCCAGCAGTGTCAAAGCCCCTACCCAGCTGTGCCAGGACACCAGGTGGGGCAGCTCACTGCGGGTCCTGCTGAAGATGATGAAGCCCAGGCCCAGGGCTGCACAGAGGATGGCCAGGGTCTGCCCTGCCCAGTGGAGCCGGATCCGGGCCTTGCGGGAGCAGAAGAAGAACAGGGAGTGTTCAGGCGAGAAGAGTAGGATGGCCTCAGCCATGCAGAGGCAGAACTGTGAACACAGGAGAGGGCCAGTGAGCCTCAGGCCCAGCGTGAAGGCCTAAGGAAAAGGAGGTGCTCTCATACGTCCAAACAAGGACAACAAAGGGTAATGGCTAAAGAACTCCACTCCTGCCCCTGACCTCCTGCCTCACAGGTCAGCATTTCTGGGCACAAGTGGGAATCAACACTTGAGTGGAAGTCTTATCATTCAGGCTGACCGGCATGCCGACCTCCGCAGGCAATGACTCCCTATTTCTTAACCAATGTTAAGCAAATCTATAGCAAATGTTAAACTGCCTCCTGAATTTTGCGAGTGGGGGGTGGGAGGTAAGGGAGTTGGGAAGGAGGGGTGATTGCACAACACCACTACTACTTCCTCCTTTCAGACCCTAGGAGAGAAAGATACATCTTCCATACCCTCCCAACACCCCTCAACCACCTGACATTAACTACAGCCCAGCCTTCCATATCTCCCAACCAAGTTACAGGGGACGATGGAACCCTCGCTCTTTCCCCCACCTCTCTGAGCCTTAGAAAAAGGGTGAGCCTCTGAAAACCTGATGCTTCCCTACGGGGCATTTCCAAACAAATCAGCTGCAGAAAAGAAACTCAAACTCACCGCCAAGGCCATGAATACAGGGTGCCAGGAGAAAAGACCTAAGAATCAAAGAGAACAGACTGACGGCTGGGCACCATGTTTCTGCCCCTGTGGCTGGCTGGAACCCAAACAATCCGGCTACAGGGGGCAGGTCAGTGCACTATTCCCAGCCCGAATGAGGAACTCCGTGCAAAGCGGAGCAGCCAATCGGGCTTACGCTGAGCAACCAAAGGGGCAAACATACACCAGTCTGGCCTGGCTTCCCCATCCGGCAGTTCGGCAGCTCGGCAGCTCGGCAGCTCGGCAGCTCAGCTTGGCAGCTCGCAGCTGTCAACCCAGTCCTAGGATGGACCTTGGCCTCCTTTACTTCCATCCTCCACGAGGGGCTCCGCTTCTGTTGTACTGGTGAGTTCAACTGAGTGTCTGCCTTCCGACCCCCGCGCCCAAAGCCCCACCCTTCCAGGACCCACCTCCCGGGGCCTGCCCCACCACGCCCTTACTACCTCTCCACAGCTCGCCCCTCCACTGCTGGGGTCCCCACTCCGGGTCTCGGAGCGCTCCCAGCTACGCTCCTCTAGCATCCCGGCTCCGCCCCCTTCCCTAGCCCCGCCCCGCCTTGCACACTCACTGGTTCCTGGCCGGGACAACACAGTCAGGAAGATGGTGAAACCCAAAGCCACTAGGTGCGCCAAGATCCCACTGCCTGTCCGCAGCCAAAGGGTCAGTCTTGGCTCCCTCGCCGGAGCGGGAACCAGACCTGCCTCCAGGGGCTGCATGGCCGGGCCGGGCCGGTGCACACTCCCAGCGGCTGGAGCGCGTCTTCCGGGTTTGCGATCGCGGAGGCGGCCGCTGCTGCGGGAGAAGCCCCTCCCCCGGCCGCCGCCGACACTACGGCGGCCTCGCCCACAGCGCCCTCTGGGGGCTGGGGGGAAAGCGCGTCCGCCCTGGAGAGCCGTGGGGCGGGGGCAGAAGAGGACCAGACAGCAGGTGGGCAGCCGGGTTTCTTCTGTCAACCTCCTTTGTACCTTTCTGGCCACAAGGGCTTACGTCTCAAGTAGCCTGTGGAAATTACACTTATGGCAACTGATTCCACCCATACCCCAGTCACAAACTTTGCACGATGAACCAAGAGTGTGAAACCAGTGCTTTGAACTGTCTTCCAGAAACACTGGAATTCTCAGCTTGCCCACGCCCTCCTGCCATCCCTTCTTCTGGCTTGTTAAGGGAGTTAAGAGTCCTCTCTGCCTAAAAGCAAGGACACTGGAAGGTAAGGACCAAGCCAGAAAATATTGCCCATGCCTGGTGAGTTCAGGTTTGAGGACCAAAGGAGGGGGGTACAACTGTATCACCCCTGTTGGCACACTAGCCTCCAGTGACTTACATGGAAGAACTAGGGCACTCCCAGCCCTTCCCACCTCCATACCATCTGCTCAGCCCTGGGAAGCCAGGTGATCCTGAGGGACAAGGACCTCCCACATTCCTGCTGCCTCCCACACCATAAGTTTCGTAAGTGATCATACCTTTCCCCTTCCTGCCTCCAAAAAGGTGTAGTTCAGCTTAAGGAGGCCTACTTGGAAGAGACTCTACCCTTTCCTGAAGGGCAAACCCACAGGGACAGGGACCAGGGACCAAAACAGCCTGTCCCACAGAAATCACGGACATCGTTAGAGCAGTTACCAACTTAATTTGAGCTCCCCCAGTGGTTGAGAAAATGAGGCTGCTAGGGAGAGACGGCAAGGGCAGGAACAGCTGAGGAGACTGAGGCAATAGTTCACAGAGACGGGATGGAGGCCCAGCAGTGCTGGAAGACTGGAAAAGGGCCCAGGCCGACTCCCACAGGCCCTCAGGGCAAAGACCTGAAAGGAGAGCCCGAGGAGTGGCTCCCTTGCCGCTGTTGTTTCCCTTCCCAGCAGGACAGGAGTCATCTCTGGGATAAAGATTCCGGTGAGCCCTTCTTGCTCTGAGCCATATGCCTCATCATCCTCTCTGGAGAGAAGACTCCCCCATGACACAAACTCTGGCCATTCCCACACCGTTTAGACAAAAATATAGGAGCATAAGAGACTTCTGCAGGCAAGCGCCAGGAGCTGGAATCTGGCTGCCTATCATCTCCACCTCCTGGGGTGCGGATGGGGACAGCAAGGACACTCATTTTATTACATCTTTTTCCTTCCTTTTCTCTGTTTCTGTTTTTACATTTTCTTAGCAGCAACAGAACAGGGAGACAGTCTTGAGGTATTTTAAAGAGTTTTTTTTTTTCTTAAAAAAAATAATATAAAGTTATAAAAAGCGGCAGCAGCCTGGGGCCCGGATCTGGAGGGGAGGAGGTGCTGGCGGCTCCATCGTGGTGGGCAGGCACTTTCTTGTTAATGGGCTTTCGACTGCAGGAAGACAAGAGGCAAGAGACGCGGTCAGGCTGGGGGCCTACCAGTCCTGCTTCCCAGTGAACTGTGTGGACCATGAGAGCTAAAGCTTGTTTTCTTCCTGGCTGGGCTGCTACCCAACGATGGATGAGGGGAAAAATGAATGCCAGTGGATTGGGGACAGCCTGAGAATGTCCGTGCACACACACGCACACACATGGGAGCATGGTCCAACTCACTACTCTCATAAGGGTGCCAGAGGAGTGGGTATGCATCTGGCCTGTGTCTACACCAGGAGGGCACCCAATTTCTCGCCACGGGCAAGCCCCTCCTGCCCTCCTATGGACAGCCCAGAGTGTGCTACTCCAGGGCTCCCGTCAGAAGAGGCGCATAAACCGGCTGCTGGCTTTCCCAGAAACCCTGGAGGACTTGCCTGGTGCATGAAATCCTGGAAGCGGGCACATATGCTTACAAGGACCTCAGGTGACATCCCTGGCCTTCTAGGCCCTAAGGCCCAGGGGCAGAACCCATGAACAAGACCAGCCCACCCACTCTGCCACCCAGCATATCAGGCCACTGCTTAGGGACCCACACTCAACCCCACTTGCCCAAACCTTTCCCATCAGAGTTCATGAAGTCCAGCTTCCTTTCCTTTGGGGGACAGGGGTGGCTCCAGTTCCTGGTGTGAAGGCCACAGCCAGATCAGAAAGTGGCCCTTTTGTTAAAACAGAAGGAGGTGTGGGGGCAGGGGACAGGCAGCATCTCCTCAGCTCAGGGAGAGATAGATAGGGGAAGGCCCATCAAGCAAAAGCTGGGTCACCTTTCAAAGAGCTGACCTACCTCTCCCTAGAGGAGACGGCCCCGGAACTCTCTCAACTTCCCCTTTCAGAATCCCTTCCCTGCACAAACACTTAGCACCTTCTCTGTGCTGGGTTCCCACTGTGCGCTCTACCCTGGTCCATCCTGATCTCTCCCTGCCCATGCTCTCCAGAGAGCTGGGCTGGTACCTTCAGTGTAGAACACTTCTCCTCAAAGGCCATGGCAGGACCCGGCTTCTTGCGGCGCACGGAGCAGGCCGCATCGGCACGGGCGCCGGCCTGGCAGTGCTTGGCCTTCACCGGCCGGCAGTAAGTGGCCAGGTTTTTCCGCTTCTTGGCTACCTCCTCCTCAGAGAGGCAGTTAGTGGGCAGGGCCTTGGCTGGGTGCCCGGCTGCTCCCCGGCTGTCCAGCTGAGAAGCCTTGACGGGTGTCGGGGGTTGATGAAGGGAGCCCCGACAGTCCAGAGGCCCTGCCCGCTTCACTCTTGGCCCCACCGTCCCATTGAGCCCCATGCCCAGGGCTGTTTTAGTCTTGGCCGAGAGGCCCCGGCAGCCAGAGGGTTTGCCTTTTCCAGAGGGCTCCAGGATGCAGGTCCGTTTGAAGGTGGTAGGGCCAGGGGATAACTTTCGCTTTCGAGAAGGGGCCTCCACCTCGACCCCATCCTTGCCTTTGGACGACTTGCTGGCCTTCGAAGGTGGGAGTTTGCTGAAGGATGGGGATGGCGTGTTGGCAGGCAGTGGTGAGGTGATGGCCTGGGCCCCCCCCATGCATTCTGCCTGGCTGCAGGCCGCGGCCACACTGGGGGAGCCTGCAGGGTAGCTGGGGACCAGGCTGTCCTTGGCAGGGGGTGTGGAGGCTGGGCAGGCAGGTCTGGGGGGCAGGCCTGGAAGGCGGGGGCAGCTGCCTGTAGAGGACGGGCTCAAGGGAGCAGACAGTGGGGAGCTGACAAGGTGGGATGGAGGCTCAGCCGCGGGTGGGATCTTCCTGCAGCAAAAAGAGAGCTCTGCTGTGACGCCAAGCAAGCAAGAGGACCTCCCCACCAACCTCCACCCGGCTCTCTGCCCCACCTAGAAATGGCCCACAGAGCCCCAGCCTTGCTGCCATCTGCTGGGAGATGCTGGAACTGAGGCTTAGGAAGAAAGCACAGGGGTAGACAGCTGTGAACTAGTATAGTGACCCATTAAGAACCTTATTTCAAATTTTTTGGGCACCCCTATCCCTAGTTACCCAAAAGGTACTGGAAGTGACAGATAAGAGTCAGGCTTCACTCCCACACCCCTCATTCTTGCCCTGCCTCGGCCCAGCCACAGGCTGTCAAGTTCCCTCACCTCCTCTTCATTCTATCTGGGGTCTCGCCCGAACAGCAGAACCGCATCTACAGGTAGGTGAGAAGAATGAGGGCTTCTGAAGCCCATGGATGTCCGGGGCCCGGGGTCTAGGGAGGGCAATTCCAGGCCCAAAAGACTCACTTCCACATGTGTGAGCTGAGGTGCCGTTCCAGCATGGAGCTCAGTGCTGAGCAGAACCGGTCCAGCCGGCGGCTAAACACGTAGCATCCTGGACTCACCAGCCGGCTCCCAAAGGTGCAGAACTAGAGGCAGAAGGAAGGGCCATGATTAGCGGGGCCTGGGAGGCAGGGAGGGCGCTTGCGCAAAGGATCTGACCTCCTCCCCAGGCTGTGGGCTGGGAGGGCTGGGCCACCCCCCACCCCAGGTCCCTGCCCCAGGTCCTTACCGCCTGTGGCCGCGGGGGCCGGGTTGCATAATGGCAGTCAGGGGGGAGGTGGAGGTCGTCAGATGTCCCCTCCTCCTCACTCTCCTCGCTGGAGGCCTGGGCCCCACCCCGGGGCAGGGGAAAGGGGAACAGGCCTGGGTCCCCATCACCACCACAGGGGCCTTCATCATCCAACTCACTCTCAGAGGAGGCCCGGGACCTGGAAGGGCCAAAGGGGACGTGAGGGCGATGAGACGGGAGTGGGTCAGGGTGGGGGTGTCCCTGAACCCGCCAAGCTCAAAAAAAAAAAGCCAGGGCAGACACCCTGCTGGGCAATGAGACAAAGAGAAAGGAGGACGGGAAGGAAGAGAACAACAGAGCTCACAAGAGTGAGAGCCAGAAAGGTCGGGGCCACAGCTCCCAAGGGATCCTCTCCCCAGCCCCTTCGCTTCCCAGGCCCTGCCTCCTGGGGCGGTGGGGAATCTGCTCCAGATTCGCCTCCTCCAGAACATCTTCTGAGCTTAACTGCACCCAGCTCTGGTCAGTCCCGTCAATTCTCTCAACCCCCTCTCGCATCACATATTCCTGTCAGCCTTTCTGGGAGCTGAGCCTGTTTCGGGTCCGCCCCTTGTGTTATGGGCAGAGATGTGTGTGTGTCTCCTTTGGCAAGGTGGGTTCTCCCCGGGCTCTGGCGCAGCCTCTGCACATGAAGGGGCCAGTGAATGAACACACAGTAGGACTGCCTCACCCAGGACCCTGATCCTTTCAGTTCCCCAGGTACAGGTTTTTATCCCAGGCACTGGAACCAGGCCCCTACAGAGGCTGAAGTGCCTCGGTGTTCTGGGGTAGGAACGGGGAGTCCCCTGCTTCTGCACAGCTAACAGGGGCTCCAGCTAGCTCCCCAGCTTGGGGTGGAGTGCGACTCCCTGGGCCTGTCTCCCAAGGCCCCTGATGGCTTGGGACCAAGTGTCCCCAGGTGGGGGACTAGACCTGGACGTACCTGGGCAGTGCACAGAATGGGTAGGTCTGCTTGGCGCGAGCAGAGAAGGTGCTGCTGGGGGCGGCCGCTGCCACAACCTGGACTGAGGAGGGGGGCTCCTGGGAGGGGCGCTCAAGAGTGGGCTCCTTGCGCCCTGGGCTCTTCTCTTTGGGAGATTCCCCTTTGCGGGAATTGGCCTTCAGCTCTGCCACTAGCACGTCAAAGTCCTTGGCTCGGCCCTGGACCTCCCGGCGCTGGTGCACCGAGTGGATCTAGAACAGAGCAGGGTGAAGGATGGGAAGGGCGTGTGAGCTGAGCAGGAGTGAGGGGCAGCAGTGTGTGCAAGCCTAGGCAAGCAGAGAGAGGGGGTTTGAGTGAGTTTGTAGGGGTACTTGTGTTTCTTTGTTTCACTCCCAGCCGCCACAGGCCCAGAATCTTCCTTTGGAGTGGGGCAGTCTGCCTACTGCCTCCAGCCTGGCCCCACTGGGGGCAGCCTCCTCTCCCCCTTGCCTTACCTGGGCTTCACCTGCACCCCCCAAGCTGAATCTTGGATAACACTGCAGTTTCTCTCCTTGCCCAGGGCCCATGTCTGTGCTGTCCTCCCTCACTCTGTGCAGCGGGACGGAGATTACCTTGCAGGTCAGCAGGCGTGTACAGATCTTTTTGGTCTCTGGGTTTATTACCCCACACTGCCTGTTGAGGTCGCACTCCTTCCCTGTGGGGAAAATTCCCATGAACCTCAAGGCCATTTCCAGGAGGCCCACGGAAGACCTGGGAAGAGCTGGGCCTAAGGCAGAAGAACCTCTAGCCTTCAAGACCAGGCTATGGCCTTCCAGAGAAACTCCGCTGGGCATCAGAGAGAAACTCTCTTCTGGGCACAACAACCATCCCCGCCCCCATTCCCAGCCCAGGTGCTCCTTTTGGTGACTCCAAGGCCAAAACAGGGCAATGCAGATCAAGCAACAAAAGCAGCCACAGGCATCTGGGATGCCAGGGAAACCAGCTGTGGGAGTGGTCTGGTGCCCTGGATCTAGGTGAGAGGAGAGATAAAGGTCAATGGCCCAGGGTAAGGAAGAGTACCTTCCCCTGCTTGGGCATAAGCTCTCTTAGCCTTGGTCAGGAGACCTGAGCTGGAGAGAAGCTTCCTAGAAAGCAAGTGTATGCCCACGTCAAGTGGTAACCAGGGATGGCCAGGCCCACTCCTTCCTGACCTCTCCAATAGGCCCAAGGACAAAGCAGTCCAAAGGGGTCCCCCACTCTACCTTCCTGACTCCCAAGACCATGACTACTCACGGGCCATCTTCCGATGGGTTTTGGGGGGCAGCCTGGCTCCACCAGGCTCCTTTTCAGGGGGGCTGCCTTCAGCCCGGTGACTGGGGCCCTCGCTGGGGGTCATCTCGATGCTCTCTCTCCCCGGAGGTTCTTTAGAAGGGGGTGCCATGGGGTTTTTCCCAGGGGAGTCCTTGGTGAGGCCACCAGGCTGGCTGAGGAAAGCAGAGGGCGGGGCCACCCTGATTCCATGTCCATCGGGCTTCGGGAGACTGGACATCTTCTCCAGATTCACCACAGGCACGAAAAGGCTACACATGGAGAGAGGGTGTGGGCTGGGGGGCAGGGGGGCTGGGCTTGGGCCCTGGACTCTAGCCCAGAGCCATCTCCTTCCCAGCCCCGAAACTTGGGTGGGCTCCAGCAGGGGTGCAGAACATGGGGACAGGGGACCCCATATTCCTTGGAGCACATGGAAGGGAGCTGCAGAGAGAGTGGCTGGCTCCTGCTGTGAGCAGTGCCCACTGCCCCACAGCTGTCTCCGTTCGTGTTAACCCCTCCCTGGACTAAGGTCAGGGTCAAGGCTGGTCTCAGGGAGTCTCCAGCCTCTCCTTACCAGAGGTTGTCCTTCTGTGTCTTCTCAGGAGGCGGGTGGCCACGGCTCCGGGACCCCTGGCCCTTCTCCCTGGAGGAGGTTTTGGTGGAACCCGGGGCCCTACAAGCTGGGCCCTGCCCATTCACTACATGGCATTTCTGAGAGCTGGCAGGGGCTGGAGGTGGGGGTGGGGCCCGGGCGTAAAGCTTGCTGAGGGGCCCATGTCTTCTTTCTGTCACCAGGAGGTGGAGAGAGTAATCAAGGTGAGTGGTATCAAGTGCTTCCTCCCCCAACCTCCTAACCCTGCTCACAGACTCATGATACCAAAATCTGTAATTGCCTAAGCCTGAGATTTTAAATTTGCCATCTTCCCACTTGAATCTGACCCTTCCAAGACTCAAAATTCTAGGACTCGGCTTCCTGAACCTTTCCACTCTTCCCCTAATTCTTCCCCAAAATTCTCCTAGAATTTGCTCAAACAATCACTCTGACAGGCCACAATCATCTGAAGCCACCCCCAGGACCTTCTGATCCCCAAGGCCTCCCCCTCCATGACCCATATGACCTCCCAACTGACCCTGCCCTCAGAGTTCCACATTCTACCTTTCCCTATCCCCTCTATCTCCTCCCTAGGGCTCCCCTCACCGCAGTGCTTCTGGAAAGCTTGAGGCTTCACCACTTGGCTGCAATGGTTACACACAACCAAATAGAAGTCGTCATGGGCAGGGCAGTGCCCGAAGATGGACATGTCTGCAATGACAGAAGCCCTTATCACTGGGGCTGGGGATCCCAGGGTTTCCCTGTAAGATCAGACAGCACTCCCCCCAACTCCCAGAAGACACTTTCCCCTCCCCAGCTGACATGACAGGCTTTATGCTGCATGCCCTCAGCTTCTAGAGCTCAACCTAAGAACATAGGCTGTCAGGTGAGTGAGCCCAATCACCTATGATTGATTAAGATCTCCCACAACAGGTCACAGGAGGCAGGGGAATGGGCTGACTCAGACCTAGCAAAGCGAGGATCCCCAGACCTGCTGCTTAAAGCAGCCACCTCCTGGGATATGTTGGAAGAGAGGAAGGTGGTCCTGTCTACCCTAGGCCCCAGACCTAATGTGTGTCAACTCCCACCTTCTTTAATGAGGGTCATGGCATCCAACTTCTTCATGTTTTTGTTACTCTCCTCCAGCTCAGCCCCTGGAGGAGAAACACAGCTTAGAAGGACGATCCCCACTAGAAACCCCGTCTCGTACCCAACCAGCACCGGCAGCCAAGCAGTAGGAAGCCCACACTCTCTAATAAGCTCCTGGTGCTCAGGACCCCTTGGAGAGCCTTTCAGTGGGTCATTCTTAAGTGCCCATTCTTCTTTCAGCTGCTACCTCTGGAAAGGTAGCTGAGCTGAGCCCCTGCCACCTTTCTTATGGACCCTTCATTCCAAGGGTTCCACTGCTAGGTAGCTGGGTGATTGTGAATAAGTATGATCTCTTTTCTGGGCCACTTCCCCATTTAAATGGGAAACAATCCTTAACATATTTTGCTATAAATCTTGAGATTTCTCATACGGTCCTTCCTGCTACTCTGTGCCACACCAAACAGATATCTCCCAGGTCCCAATCCCCATGAACGTGACTTTCTTCCACCTGGGTTACTGTGGTACTGACAAAGTTACACCCAGCTTCTCAGGTCTTGCATTGACATGGTCACAGAGCAGAGAAACTGCCATCTCAGGGGGTCCTCTGGCATCTTCAAAGTCCATTTGGTCAGCTATGCAAGCCCCTCCCCTCTTTAGAGGGCTTTGAGCAAGGGTTGCCCTTATACCTCAGTTTCTGGGTTGATGACAAAAACATCTTAGCTGTGCAAAGCAGCTCTTTCCCCCATCCCCCTACTTTACTCCTCTCCCCTCCCTCCTTTATGCCCCCTCCCTGTCCCTTGGAAAAAAAATCAATTCTGAGTCACCAAACCCGTCTGATTCCATTTCCGGTTCTCAAAGCACCCAGACCCTGACAATGGCCCCATCCTTGCCCACCCAGCATGGGACAGCCCTAGGGTGGCCTGGGCATCTACTTAGATGTGCTTCTAACACCTACTGACAGATTTGCCCCTTTCTAGGATGAGAAGATCGCTGACAGTCTTATATAATCTCCAGATATGAGGGGTAGTGGGTCAGGCATGCAAGAGACAAGGGGCAGCTCCCACTCTTAAGTCCGTTAAAATGCACTGATGGGCAAAACTGAGCTGGGAGTCAGACGTCTCAGAGGAGAACAAGTGTCATCAGAGACCGCTCCATGCGGACTCCTCCTCCACCTCTTCTCACTTGCAAACTTCTTCAGGGCTGTGATGCCTGCTGTCACCCCAAAGGCCATGAGGCCAGGTGCCCCCTGGGGCCCAGGAGACAAAGATCAGCAGAAGGAGATGTCAGCCCGCTTACCAAAGGCACTCAGGGGCCTAGAGAAGGTGGGGGTCAGGGGAGAGAGCCAAGAGGCAGGCAAGAGGCCCGGGAATGGACTGAGGGTTGAGGCACAGAGGGATGGATGGACGGAAAGGAGGGAAGGAGGGAGGAAGGGAGGATGGATAAATGGATGGACCGACGAACTAATGCGGAGGAGGCGGGGGTCCAGTGGTACTGCAACCCGCTGGCAAACGCCGAAAAGGAGCAGGAGGTGTGGGGCAGAAGGCGAAGGAACAAGGGGGGTTGGGAGGGGGGCACAGAAGTGGGGTGCGTGGGAAACACGTGGAGAGGACTGTTGCGGACGGGGAAAGCCCTAGGCAGGTGTAGGAGGGGCGGAAGCTAGAGGACAGCAGGCGGAGAGAAAGGTAAAGGCAAACAGATGTCGGGGCAGGTACGGGGCACCGGCAGAGGCAGAGGTGGGCAGGGTGGGCTGCGGGCGGTGGGCCGGCGCTAGGACCCGGAGGCGCGAAGGTGACGGAGCAGGCGGGCACTAGGACCCGGCGGGTCCTTTGTTTGGGGGGCCGGGGAGCCGGACGGCGGCTCCCGTCGGCGGCTCCCCTCTGCTGGCGGGGGCCCGGAGAGGGGGAGGGGAGACAGTGCTGGGGTCCCCGGACTCTACGGGAGCTTCACTCACCGTCGGCCGCGGGCAGGTCGGCCCGTTCCACCCACGAGCTCCAGCTCTGTCCCGCGAAGTCATCGAGACTCGGCACCCGCCGCTCCAGAGCGGCCATTGCTGCCGCCGCGCGTTCACGCACCGCCATCACCGCCGCGGACGCGCGCCCGCCCCGGCGCCACCGCCGCGCGGCCCCCTCCCGCTAGCCCCGCCGCGGGCACGCCTCCCCTCTCCCTCCCACCTTTCCAGCTCACTCTTTGCGCAAGCGCAGCACAGGTTGGCTTCCCCTCGCTCTCCCTCTCGCATAGCCTTCTGGGAAGTGTAGTCTTGGCGGGGGTGCTGTTGCCTACGGAGCTTGCAGCAAGAGCCCCTCCAAAATGCACAACTGCGGAGGGCGAAGAGACCAAAGCCCCAGGACCTCGTCTCCTGACCTTTGTGCACACATTCTTTGTGCTACCAGCCCGCCCTCCCAAGCTCACTGCATACACACCCCGCCCCAAACCTCTCTCTGCCCAAGACGCCCCTCTAAGCCGTTCCTTCGCCAGCTGGCTGGCGCCCCTTCCCGGGCTGGCGGTCAAGAAGCGACTTCGCTCCCCTGTAGATCGAATAGGGTAGGTGCAGGGAGGTGGGCGCTGTGAATCAGAAGGGCAAGGGGAGGGAGTCTGTAGGATGTGCTGAAGGACACAAGGGTTGGAGTGGGGGAGGGTCCTCGGCTCCCGTGTTGTGCCTCTTCTGTGGGAAACCCACGGTGCCCTGATGCAGGGTAGAGGGTTGGAGTGGCGTTGTCTGGGTTTGGGAGGACGTAGATGAGCTGATCAAGATCACCTGTCAGGATGACAGAAGGCTATCTCCGAGCCAGAGCCAGCCCCGGAACTGGGGTGGCCCCCAGGCTGCTGGTGTTTGCAGCATCTCTGCTGATCCTTCTCTTCTCCTGAGAACTGCGATCAATACCCTGTACCGCCTCTTCCCAAACCCTGGCTGGACCCTGACTCCATCCATCACTTTGGCTTCTTTTTCTAATGAATATTTTCTCTGCTATAAGGGCTGCTACCAGAGCCTCAGCATAGGGAGATTTCTCATTAGATCTGTCATTTTCTTTGCTAAGGCCTGGAAAATACCTTAATCATCCTCTTTCTTCTTCTCAGCTGATAACAGTTCTTCCCACCCTCCCACAATCAAAAGACAAAAGCCTCCCCCCATCATATCAGAAAAGAGAGACTAGTTCTCTTTTCCCTCTTCAAACCTCACAGCTCAGCCCATATTTATTCCTTCAGGTAGAGGAAATCAAATTGGAGGGTGTGACTTCAAGACCTCAGACTTTCTTCTCATCTTCACCCAGGGAAGGTTTAAGCACTGCAAAAATAATCTCTGAGGGCAGTGATTCTTAAGCTGAGAACTACAGATGATCCCTGGGCAGGGATGGGGAGCGGCGAACAGGATCTTGTTGAAATTGTGACATCGTGTCCAAGTGCGTTTTTCTGGAAGTCACTTGTCCGAAGGGGGATAGAGGTGCAAGTTTGTTCAGGAAGAACCTTTATTGTTAAAAGGGCAAGACATATGGCTCTCACCTCCTGACAGGACGCTTAGGAGAGCAGATGAAAACAGCATAGTGGAAACTACTATCTCTTGCCTTTTGAGTTTGCTCAAATTTGGTAAAGAGTCTCAGTTACTTTGGACTAATTGGTGCTATCAAAAGAGAAAATGCAGACTCTATTGCTTGGGGTGCAAGTGGAATGATGTTTTGGCGGAAATGCTGATATTTGTCCAAGAATGTAAAGCAATGAGAGGAAGAGAATAAAAATCCCTGGAAGGGCTCTAGTCTTAGCTCTGTCATAGCAAATGTTTTGAAGCACTGTTTATTTAAATGTGTAATAACAAGCACCAGAAAACAACATGCAACATTCTCCCCCCACCCAGCCCCGATCTTCAATCCCAGAAGTAGGAGACCTATGATCATGATAGTGGAGGGAACTCAAAATTCTGAAAATGTCCTTCGTGTGCACCCTGGCAGTGTCAGAGTTTAGTAGGGCGGAGGGTGAGTTCCCTGCCTGTTGGCCTCCTACAATCTGGAGAAACCAGACACAGTCTCCTACCCCAGGCCCCACTAGGCAAAGCAGTGGTGCCAGCCCTGGTCGGAGGGGCATGAATCCTACAAGAACAGATCTGCCCTCAGCTCTTGCCTAGCCCAGCCCTCTGGAGGTAATGAGGTGAAGTAGGCTTTCCTCTTAGGTCATGGAAAGCAAGGCCATAGCCAAAATCAAGGCCCTTCTGGAAGAGAACAAGCCAGCTCTTGAGAAGGAGAAAGAGCTTCCTGAGAGTTCTGGGCTAGGAGTCCTTGGCAGAAGTTCATACCCACCCCAACCCCCTTCCCCTAGCTCGAGGGCCAGCTGCTAACTTCAGCCCCCAAATGAGAACATTTTATCCATCACATTTCAAATAAATTATAAATATATACACAGAATCCAAACAAAGTTCCAGTAGAAGCTGCTCACAGACCCTCACAGGGGCCAGCTTAAAGAAAAATCGTCACCTCTTTGTTCTCTGTTTCTCTGGAGCTGCAGGAAAACTGTTCCCCCTCTTCCTAGAGTAACCATGGGGACAGCTCAGGACAGAGAGAGGTTCAGACTTAGAGCACTCATCCCCAACTCCTCTCTTCCCTCCTCAAATCCCTTCCCCAAAATCTAAAAACAAACGAAACAGAAAATATAATTCTTTCACTGAAAGGTTCTGGAGCATTTGAGGATATAAGTTTCACACTCCCCCTGTCAAGTGCAGAAACTCTGACCCAAAGAAGAAGTGAGAGCCCAAAGTCAAATATCCTGTCTTCTGGGTACCCCAGTCATGCGCACATTACTATGGATGGTGTTTAGGGAGGTGAGAAGGTTGGAAGGGTTGTCTCAGTCCTGAGGAGAAATTTGCACAGGGCACATTCACCTTTGGGATGATAAGTGGGCTAACTGGCACCGGATTGGAAAATGGCTGGATTCTTCTTTCTTCATCCTTCTCTGAGGAGCCGTATGGCCAGGGCTGACAGAAATGCTTCGAGTTGGGTAGGAAATAATGTCCCTTTCCCAGTCAGCATTGACTCTTAGGCCCTGGGGTCCAGAGAAGGACTGAAGGAGGTGTCAGAAAGAGGAGACATATCAAAGACAAATATGGAACTGGGTCCCGAAGTGAAGAAGCACCAATAGCATTGGCCTGCCCTGGACAGGGTTCTGGTGGGAAGGGATAGAGCCTGGGAGAAATGAGGAAGCAGAGGAGGAAATGAGGGCAAACCAAGAGGGCATGTCCTTTTGTAAAGGTGAGATAGGGAAGTATGAAAAAGAGGCCAGAGAAGGAATTGTGGGTTGGGGGGGAAATGAGGAAGAAATGGGCTCATCCATCCATGTCCTGGGGCTCTGGGCAACTTAGCCTCAAGATGGTCCTTTGGACCCTTCCAAAGTCCCTATCTGGACCCACAGGAATGAAAGGAAGGCCTAGACAGACATGGAAAAGGATCTTGAATGCCTCAGACCCAAGAGGCTGGGGAAGGGAGATGGACAGAGAGGTTGGAGGCAGGGAGGACTGAAATGGAGATGTTCCTAGACCCCTCATCTTGTGTCCCATATGTGGGACTAAGCCCAAGAAGGAGGACAGGAAGGAAGGTCAGATTTCTAGGGCAAGTACAAGTGTAGTTTTGGTAGAAAATGCCCCAGCCTGGAGGGTTGGGAGGACAGAGGGAACAGAAGAAATGCTTCCCCAGCAAGTGTCCTGGCTTCAGTGTCTTGAAGTTGCAACCCAGTTGCAATATTTCTGCTCCCCACTAAGTCCAGGCCTCATCAGGACCCTCTACAGAGCTTTTTCCTAGGCTAGTTGGCCTCCTGGCTTCCCACGCCGTAGGCTGTGTGGGTGAGCAGAGGCCAGAGGGAAAAGTCAGAGAGTTGGGGCTGACTGGTGATTGGGGAGACACAACGCTTAGATGACAGCCACTGGGGGGGGAGGGAGTTCCTGAACCACTGGTGGGCCCTTCATGCAAGGGACCAGGAAAAAGGTTGCCAGCCAATTTCCCCTCCCCCCACTTTTATTGAAGCCAACAGGTTGATAGAAGTGGCTGCTAGGAACCAGTCTCAGGACTCTCTCTCCAGCCCCTTGCAGTAGATGCTCCTTCTCAGAGGCTGCAAGGGTACGAGTAAGACCCCAAGTAAGATGCTGGGTTTCAGGCAATAGACAAGAAGCATGGAGCTCCTGCCATCCGAGGCTCCAGCCAGAAGCCAGATAGGAAGCCACTGGGAGGGCTGCCCGGGTTTCTGACAGCTGATGCCTGCCCATCCATTAGCGTCGTCTCAAAGCTCAGAGCCCAGAATGATTGGGGAGGAGAGTTGGAGAAGGAAGAAGAGGGAGGTCCTGGAAGCCGGAGGTGGTTGAAGAGGTGCTGTCCTGTTCGGGAGTAGCCAGGTAGGGGCTGCTTACTGCTTCTCCACTGCTCCCTGCTCCGCTGCGCTCTCCTGGCTAGGGCCCTGGCCCTGGTCCTGGCCCTGCCCGTGCCATGGGGTCTCCTTGAACACAAACCAACAGTTCCCAGCCCACAGGAAAAAGTTGATGAAGCCGAAGAGCTGCAAAAACACCAGGGGAGTTTGTGAGAGTGGTAAGGAGGGCATTGTGGGAACAGGGAGAGGGAGTCCCTGGGGTGGGTGGGGGAGAAGGCAGAAGGCTGGGAAGACTAAAATACAGAGAACTGGATGTAGAGGCAGGTTCAGTGCTGATTCCCACTAGCGGTTGTCGGGCCAAAGTCTCTCACTGCACCTGAGTTGTAGCTTGATCGCTGGGAGACTCTGGCCCCTGGAGCAAAGCATCACGCAAAGCAGAGCAAGGCGCTTTCCACAGCAGGGTCCTGAGTGCCTTTTCCGAGGGTGGGTGTGACCAGAGCTGTCCAAGGTGCTCCTTTCCTGGGGCCAGGGACCCAGCCACGGCTGTATTCAAACATTTATTCAAAAATACTTAAAAACCTATCAGCAGGAAGTACTGGGGGAGGGGAGCGTACTGATGTCCACAATTAACTTTGAAATGCATTAAAAATACGGTGGTTTGGGGCGCCTGAGTGGTTCAGTGGGTTAATCCTCTGCCTTCAGCTCAGGTCATGATCTCAGGGTCCTGGGATGGAGCCCCACATCGGGCTCTCTGCTCAGGGGGGAGCCTGCTTCCCCCTCTCTCTCTGCCTGCCTCTCTGCCTACTTGTGATCTCCCCCTCTCTGTCAAATAAATTAAAAAATAAAATCTAAAAAACAAAAGAATACAGTGGTTTGATGGATAAAGAGGGGCAGATAGATACGTGATAAAGCATGTCTAGGAAAAAGTTAATCATACAGTTTAGGTGACGAGTGTGTAGGTGTTCATTGTAAAAGTCTTTCAACTTTACTGTATGTGTGAAATTTTTTACAATAAAATGTTGGGGGCTAAAACCTATCAGCAGGGTTCCAGTAAGGTCTAGAAGGCTCCCTGGTATGCCAGCGATGAAACCCCTTCAGTGTCTGGGCCTTGGGGAGTTCCAGGCCATTTTCAGGGCAGGGCTAAGGTAACAAGGGGCATCTGAAAAGCTCAAAGCCTCAGCTATGTGCCAACTGATATGGAAAGATTTCCGCATTCTAACAACCAGGATGGCCAAACCAGTGTGCACCAGCTGGACCCACCCCTGCCAAAAGCCCCTTTCCTGCCCGGAGACCTGAGTGACAGTGAACCCCTTTCTCTCACTCTGGGTGTGCTCCCAGTCTTGAGCCCCACCATAGCCTGTGCGTCCCTTCACATGCTTGCATGCACATGTGCACACATGCACACACACACACACACACACACATTGTCAAGAGGCAGGAGGGGTGGGAGCATGCCTGGATGTGGGGAGAAGGGAGATAGGAGGGCAGAATACAAAAGGAGGAAAGAACAGGAGGCTAAGTGGCTCTTGCGCTACCCCCCCGCAAAAAAGAAAATGGCCTCTCGGGGTCATCCAGAGGCCAGTAGCCATCCTTAGGTGCCGGAGTCACCCGCTCCAGTTTCAGGGGATACCAGCTGGAGAGACACCCCTCTGCTCCTCTCAGAACCTGCTAGCTGGGACAAGCCTGGGTATCTGGGATAACACTGCCTCCCCTAGACCCCTTCAGCGGCTGCAGGTCTCACCACAGAGATGTTGGCCAGTCCCATCGAGGGCGTGGCCCCAGCACTGCACACTGCTTCCTCTCCGTGGCACACAGACATGGCTGCGGTCAGGCTGGATGGCCGCGTGGCCCCCTTGATGTCCGTCAAGCCCTTGCCCCAGGCGGCCGCAGCTACCAGCCAGAAGAAGGTGAAGGAGACAGTCACACAGAAGTCCTGGGAGGAGTAGAGGGACGGGAAATGTACTCAGAAAGGCCCCCCTGATTGTCTGCTTCTCTTCCTCTGGCTATAAGGCACCGGGATCCTGCGGTGCTAGGACAGCTACCTCTTGCCGTCCTACCCAACATCTGGAGCCTCAGGGAGCCCAAGTCATCTTAAGGAATTTGTTCACTGCCACCCAAGGAATGCTGCCACCCAGGGCTACCCCTGCCCAGTCCCTCAGAACTGAGTTCAGGCAACAATGTATCAAGGCACCTGCTGGTCACTGCCACCCCCAAACCCAGGTGGCCTAAACCCCCACTCTCGACTTCAAGCCTTTTCTTCGATCACCACTGCTCAGCTACAGCTGGTGGTAGAGAGCAGACTGCAGGAGACAAAGGGGATCCTCTAAGTTACCCCTTCAACTTGCATGCCTGGGATAGGGAAATGGTAGAGGCGGGAGAATGTTAATGATGGCTAACACTCACTGAAGCTAACTAGATACCAGATATTTATACGCATGTTCCTTTTTTTTTAATTTTTTAATTTTTTTAGAGTTTTTTAAATTAACATATAATGTACTACCTGCTTCAGGGGTACAGGTCTGTGAATCATTAGTCTTACACAATTCACAGCACTCACAATAGCACATACCCTCCCCAATCTCCAAAACCCAGCCACCCTATCCCTCCCCTCCCACCCCCTAGCAACCCTCAGTTTGTTTCCTGGGATCAAAAGTCTCTTATGGTTGGGCGCCTGGGTGGCTCAGTGGGTTAAGGCCTCTGCTTTCAGCTCAGGTCATGGTCCCAGGGTCCTGGGATCAAGCCCCGAATCAGGCTCTCTGCTCAGCAGGGAGCCTGCTTCTTCCTCTCCCTCTGCCTGCCTCTCTGCCTACTTGTGATCTCTGTCTGTCAGATAAATAAATAAAATATTTAAAAATAAAATAAAATAAGAGTCTCTTATGGTTTCTCTCCCTCCCCGGTCCCATCTTGTTTCATTTTTTCCCTCCCTACCCCCCATGACCTCTCACCCTGCCTCTTAAATTCCTCATATCAGAGAAAGCATATGATAATTGTCTTTCTCCGATTGACTTATTTCACTTAGCATAATCCGCTCTAGTTCCATCCATGTCATTGCAAATGGCAGGATTTCAGGGTTTTGATGGCTGCATAGTATTCCATTGTGTATATATACCATATCTTCTTTATCCATTCATCTGTTGATGGACATCTAGGCTCTTTCCACAGTACATGCATTTTCACTTAACCCGCCCACACGCTATGAGATAGGTATTCTTTTATCCTTATTTTATATTGAGAAAACTCAGTAGAAGTGACTTGTCCAAGAGCACACATCTAGTAAAGGACTGTCCTGGAATCTGAACCCAGGTAGTCTGGCTCCGGGGTGCACTTCTTGATGCTATTATGCCATCTGTGAGCACAGCAAGTGATGGGGGCTTGGTAGACGCAGAGTCCTCAGAGCTGTGGGAGTCACAGAACCTGAAGGGGATGAACAGCGAAGAGCTGGCAGGGAGACCCTCAGGTTCCACACAGGGGTGTCCTCCCTCCTCAATGTGACATCAGTCCCAGAAGGCGTATCTACTCAGTTTCTCCACCCCATCCCTTCTGGCCGATGTGCACTCACCACCAGTGGGAAGCGCTTGTTCTCTGTGTAGAGGTTGTGGAAGCGCAGATAGAGGACTAGCGCAGCCATGGTGTAGAAGAAGGAGAAGATGCCCAGGGTCACAAAGAACTCGGCAGGAGCAGAGAAATCCCCCATCAGGTGCATGGTCTTGGAGGTGGAGTCATCATCACAGAGGGGCATCTCATACTGGACCCGGTTCAACCTGCAGGGGGCAGGGGGTGCCATCCTGAGCTCGGGGCAATCCTCTCCCTGAGGAGGCAGGGGACCAGCCCGAGCTGGGAGTCATCATGGGCTGCTTCTTGCCCTGGGACTCTTACAGAGCCAAGGAAGGGGGTCTGGGGGGAGGAATGTTTCTAGAGGCAACCTTGCAATCAAGACAGGAACATCCCCAGAAATCTGTCCAACTCTACCTCCCATTCAGCTGCTACCCACCCCTTTGCCCAGATACAGAGACCGTGTATTTCCAAGTGTCTTCAGGGCCCTTTAGGTCACAACCACAATATATATACAGTGCCATCTATTTCTGGTAGCCAAACCACCAGGGAGATCATCTTCATTTTGCCCCTGGGAGAGTACAGGTCCACAGTGGCCAGGTTAGGGTTGGACTTACCCATTCTCAGGCCTTATTTAGCACCCCTCCCCCATGAGACTATATGGGACCAAAAAGGACAGGGGAAAAAACAAACAAACAAACACCCTTTTATATATGAGAGACAGTTAACCTAACTTGACAATTGGTACTAAAAATTTCTGAGAAGGAAAGCCCTGTCCCCAGTTCTCTTCTGAGCAGTTGGGACTCCCCTCCATAGGCTCTTAAATAGCCAGGAAAGAGTCTTCTTTTCTACCTTCTGGGCAAGGTATATCTCCTTGGATTCTAGGGTACTAGGTGAGCACCCCACATCAACTTTTTGGATCTAGGTACTAACAAGCTCCCTAACCTTCAAGGCAAGGAGAAGGTTGCTGAAAGTTAGAGAGACCTGCGCAATTAGCCTCCATCCCAAACTGCATGAGTTCTTTCTGTAGGAACTCTTGTTCCCTGCTCTTGGTTATCTATGGACTAGAATGTTATTATAACAATGACCTATCTGAGTTTCCCTGATATTTTTCTATGGTTAGTGTGTCTGAAATTCCTAAAGGGTGGGAAGGACCCAAGTTTTGTAGTTCTATTTGAACCTGGCGTGGTTCAATAGAAGGTCGTTCGTTAGGCTTCTGGAGGAGAAAGAGACCAAGCAGGTCCTGTTAAACCAGCGAGGGAGGCTGTGTGGGGTCAGAATCAATTCCTGCTCACCTGAAGGGATAGCCGAACAAAACAATGATGGAGCTCACATCCTTGGCTTCGTTGTTGCAGCGAACTGTTGCTCCTGTCTCCCCGCTGTAGGAGCCGCAGGACCCGAAGGCGAAAATAGCAAAAAGCTGAGGGAGAGGGAAGGCCCTTTGAGAGTCAGAAGGCCTCAGCTGGCCAAGGAATATCTCCTCAGAACCACCTTCTGACTCTCAGCAGGTGTGGTTACAGGGAGGGAAGGATTTCCTTTAATCAAGTCCCTCCTAGGAAGGGACTCATGGCTTCCCTTGGCCTTCCCACCTCAGGTTGCTGTGCTCACTGCACCTGAGTGCCAGACCAAATAGCCCAATGAATGAGGTTAATTTGGAGTGGTGTCCAGAAGGGAGATGTAGAGAGAACAAATGGATAGTTTCCACATCTCCTCACTGGATGTGACAGGTAACCTCCTTAAGATGATGACAAACTCAGAGCTATTCAGGCTTTTGGAAACGTCTAGCATAAAGCAGGACCTGAATTTCCTCCCTAGGGGAGAGACACCCTAGAAATAGATTCCTCTGTGCCACCTGGGATCAGGCATGTGTTGGAATTCTTTCCGTTTCTCCTTTGGAGCTGTCATTGAATCTTGTCACTGTGTTACTACCTTCCAGTGGCTTCCTGCCTCACTGGAGGTATAGCTAGAAGGGACAACTTCTGCCAAGCCTTCAGAGGGGAACTAGGCAGGGAGCTGTCCCACGCTCTGCCAGCCTAACTCCTCCTCCCCCAGAGGTTCTTTTCCTCACAGCCAGAGTGCTGGCCACGTCTCTGCTGACCGTCCTGGCTCAAGCCCAGAGGAAAGTACCTTCCACTTGCCTTATCAGCCTCCACTCACTCCCCAGTGGTGTTTCCCTTTGTAATCTGTTGATGCTGCCATCACTCAGTGTTAAGAACCAGGGGCATTTCAGATCACTTGAATTGTTTTCCTCTCCACTTTTCATCACATTTTACTAAACCTTCTGTCTTGAGTGAGATGAAATTTCCTTACCCTATGGTTTTCAAATTTCTTTCTGGGAAAACACACTGGTTAGAAAAGGAAGCGAGAAGCTGGACTCTCTAAATGTCCCACATCGTTGGTCCAGGCCCCATCTCCTCTGCACTTACCTCGTACAGGCTTGTACATGATGGAATCATTCTGAGTAAGCACAAAGCTTATTTTGCTAATGATCGTTTTCTGTGTGTTTCTCCGTGTCTTGGTGTCTTGGACATTAAGCACTTAGAAGACAGCTCATCTATGTCCCAGGCTTGCACTCAGCATTTAGAATAGAGCTGTGTGCACGTGATTTTCCTAATGCTTCCGAGTGTTGTGGAGTGAGAAAAGGCCTGGGTTAGGAGTTAGGAAATCTGGGTTCTAGCCCGGGTCCAGTCACTCAGTAGCTGGGCGAACTGTAATAAAGCGCTCCGCTCTCTGAGTCTTTTTCTCATCTGTTCAAGGAGGGGTTTGGAGCGGGCAGTCGAGAGGCCCTGCTCTCACAGGATGAGGGTAATGCTGTCAGTGTGCTCTTGGCTGCGCTGGCCAGCAGCTGTGCTCTGCCCCTGGGTAGTGCCCGGCGCCACTGCCCCACCTCGCATCGCCCAGCCTGGCAGAGCTTCTCCGTGCTGGAGCCATTGACCCCTCTCTAAAGGTCACAGTGAAGACCTCTCTGTTTCCAGGAGGTTTAGTTCAGACAAATGAGAATTGTCTCCATTTTTAAAAAACATCAGGAAAGGAGAGAGCGTCACTCTCTCCAGGACCTGAATAACCTCATCTGGCTTAATTTACAGAGGCTGAAGTGGAGCCCTGTTGGCTCCTGTTGACAGAGCTGAAGAGAAGTTACCCAAAGCCTCGGCCTCATTGCCCCATATAGACCCCAGCCTCCACTGGCGCAACAATGGCGCCTCTCTAGCTCTTCCCCACAGGAATTCCCGAATTTTTGTCAGCTCTGTGAGCCTCTTACGGGTTTCTTTATTCCTCTTAGCTTCTGGCCCTCAGAAGTGGACACACAATTAGAGTGTCCCATTCTAGGAAGGGGAGCACAGTTGGATATATTTTTACCCATCGGCAGTTAGCTCTATCTAGGTCCCCTACGAAAATAGGTATTCCTAACTTTGGGCAATGAATGGTCAGTTGCGGAGCCTTCTCTTCACCAGCACTTCCTTGACAGGCACATCTACAAAAAGATGATACTTATTGAGCACCTACTGTGTACCAGGCACTGTTCTAGGCACTATCATTTAGTAGTGAACATAAGAGAAAAATCTCTGTCTTTGTGGAACTTGTGCTCTAGGGCTGCTTTATCCACCACGGTAGCCAGTAGTAGCTGAGTGTGGCTATTTACATTCAAACTCATTAAAATTAAACAAAGTTAAAAATTCAGATGCTCCATCACACTAGCCACATTCCAAGAGCAACATTTTAATAGCCACATGGGGCTAGCAGGTACCATACTGGACAACACAGACCATAGAACTTCACCGTCATTGTCCAAAGTTCTGCTATAGCTAGATGATAACCTTGAAGTTCTGAAAATCCTGACCCTGTTTTGTGATTCCTCCAAGAGTGAAATATACCACAAGAGTTTTAGTACTAGCTGTATTCTCTTCTCTTCTGATTCTCTGAAAGTTGGGAATCCCTAGCCACCTTACACAGCTCTTTATCAATCAGAATATATAATTAAATCTGAACATCACACAGCCATATGATGCCAGAAAATGTAGTTTGCTAGGTAAGTGGACAAAGGGAAAAATTTGAGGGGAACCTCACAGGTTCACAGGACAGCAGAGCAAAAAAGATCTCAGATGGGGGTGCCTGGGTGGCTCAGTTGGGTAAGCAGCTGCCTTCAGCTCAGGTCATAATCCCAGGGTCCTGGGATTGAGCCCCATGTCAGGATCCTTGCCCAGTGGGGAGCTTGCTTTTCCCTCTACTCCTTTTTCCCCTGCTTGTGCTCTCTTGCACATGCTTGCTCTCTCTCTGGCCAATAAATAAATAAAATCTTTATTTAAAAAAAATCTCAGAGATTATTAAGCCCAATGGTCTCATTTCACAGAGTTGGAAATTAAAGTCCCAAAAGATCAAGTGACTCTTCCAAGGTCCTATTTAGCCATTGTGAGAGCCAACCCTGGAATTCAAATCTCCTGATTCCCTGTCCAGTGCTCTTTCTACTTCATTCATTCATTAATCAACAGTTACTGACCATCCCCTATGTGCCAAGTGCTGGTGACACAAAGATGAATAAGACCTGGTACCTTCTCTTTCAAGTTCATGACAAGGAAAAAAGTGTCATGTTCAAACAAAATAAAATTCTGCATCACAAAGTTATTAAGGCTAAAAAAGAGAGAGAGAGAGAGACGTCTCTTATGTTCAGCAAAGATTATAAGGAGGCAGGGAGTAGCTCTGTACTTGGGATGCAGGAGCAGAGAAAGACACCCTGACCTGGCCCCCTCGACCTTTTGTCACCAGATCTGCCTTCTTCCCTAAATGTGCCAGGAGACTGAGGCACAGGGAAGAGCAGAAAAGAACTGAAACCATCCATGTCACCAAACAGGAGGATTTGAGTTAAGCAAACTGCTCAAAAAGAACAGGAACCAAGGAGAAATGGAGTACCTGAGCTGGGGATGGGTTGCGGGGGAGGGAGGAATCTCTTAAGTTCTGATGCCAACCAGCCTTCCATCTCCTGGTCCTGTATTGCTGGGGACACTATGGTCATACGCTGCTCTCCACACCCTCCTCCTCCTGTCTCTGCTTCTCTTTGGGAAAGGTGTCAGAATAACCTCGCCAGTTTGGTGCCAACTTGCTTGATGGTGATGATCCTTTGAGAACACTCCCATCCCCAGTTAGTGCAGGGCACAAGGAAGACAAGTTCTTCCCCTACTCCTACCTCTACAGTCATCTCATTGGTTTTATGGAATCTGACGGGATTCTTTAGCATTCCCCACACCAACTGAAATAGTTTATTTTCATTACAGAGTCACCCAGAGCCAAGCAAGTGGTTTTGGCACCTCAAACGTGAATTACTGATTAGGGGTACACCCAGTTGATAATAATATGACTTACTATAGGAACAGTGACTGAGTAATTCAGTAGATTCTTTTGTGCCTTACCCTCAAAGTCAGGATTTGGCAGTGACATTTGAGTAATCTAACCAAAGGACAAGTCTAGCTGACAGACTGCATAAAGAAGAAATTTAGGGGCGAGGGGAGGTTTAGGAGCGGGAGGAAGGGGAACCAACACTCACTGAATAACTCCTGGGCTGCTTGGACTGAATGCTTGGATGCTTTACAGAAATCACCTCCTATAATCCTCCAGTGAACCCATAAGATAGATCGTACCCTCACTTACAAATATGAAACGAGGGGCACCTGGGTGGCTCAGTGGGTTAAGCCTCTGCCTTCGGCTCAGGTCATGATCTCAGGGTTCTGGGATCGAGCCCCACATCAGGCTCTCTCCTCAGCAGGGAACCTGCTTCCCCCTCTCTGTCTCTGCCTGCCTCTCTGCCAACTTGTGGTCTCTCTCTCTGTTAAATAAATAAAATCTTTAAAAGAAAAAATACGAAACGAAGGCCCAGTAAGATTTCGTTACTTACCCTAGGTACCCTAGATTCTATGGCTAGAAAGCAGAGGAGACTCAATTTAAACCAAAGCCCATCAATCTCAAAATCTGCCCTTTTTTTAGGAAAACAGTTCTTTAATAATTGGTCTAGACCCATGTTATTTTGCTAGCTTTGTAAAGACTTAGTGAGACTCCAGAATTGGAATTGAGGTGAGATGAATTTCTGAATTAAAAAAAAAAAAGACACTCTAAGCCAAGCTCCTGACTAATAAAGCCTAACATTGTTTTCTTCTTACCAGGATTCCAGCAAAATTACTTTTGGATAACAATGACAACAAAAGTTTTCAAGCATCATTAGTATAAATTCAAGAGCTGTGTGTTCTTTTTTTCCTTTTCCAGCTCGGGAGCATCTGAGCCCCCCAAGCAGGAAATGAGTAAGAATCCCAAAGGACATCTTCACTGTCATTTCTGGTACTGGTTCCTGTGCTCGTTTACAGGAGCTCATCCTACAGAGATTCAGGGCCAGTGAAACTCACGCTCTGAATTCAGGCTGCCGGGATGGAAGTAAAAGCAAATCATGTCTCCCTTTGATGCTGTCCTTCCCACGAAGGCTGAGTTCAGAGTCTAGCCCTGGGGCCCCAGATTTAGCACTATGAGAGATAGGCATCACCCTCTCTAAGAAGCTGAAGATCATAAAAGTCAAATGGGTCTTAACTCTTAGGGATCAGTGCTTATCCTGGGAGGAGACTGGATATTTTCCTAGGCATTGCTTTGTGCAGCCTTTATAGATACGTGGTATTGGTGGGTGGGGAGGGGGGTGGCACTGAGAAAATGATAGAAGGATTGAAGATGGAAGGATTTCAGAATCCCCCCCCCAAAGGATGATTCCATGGTCTAATAACCTCATTGTTTCCCTTGTCCCTTGACAGTCTTTCTCAAATTTCCCCTAGATCTATTTGTCTAGTTTAATGATAAAATTGTACTCTTACATTTCAGGTTCTGCTCCTCATAATGGCTCCCTAGTTCTGGATGGCAGAGCCTTAATAACATTCTTATATGGCCACCACTGGTATTCAAGTGGTGGATCTGAACAGGGAAGTTGGGGGGGGGGGTGTGAAATTGCTCAGTCAGCAGTCTATCCAACAGCTCTTGAGGCAGTAGGGAGGGTGGAAAGTCCCCACCAGGTCTCAGAGTTTGCACTCAGGAGCTCCTTGCTTGGCCTATAGCCCCAGTCAAGGTCTCGGATATCTGGAGATAACCCCAAATGCACTATTGCCCCTGAATTCCAGGTCTGATAATTCCCATCCAAACGATGATTCAGGAATCGGTGACACGGTGCTCACTCTTGTCTCCCGTGAGTTAAAAAGCCCTCTAGAACTCAATCCTCCTCAGTCTTAATGGTAACTTATTCGTTAGCTGAATTCTGTGCTGGAAGCACATTAATTAAGCTATTCACACACCATTTGGTGTGTAGATTGTCTAACTTAAATCTCCTCTGTTATAGTGCACTAAATGCTGCCAACAAGTTTTCATGATTTGAAAGAGTGACTACACCTGCCCCCATGCCTAACTTACACCCAGGAAACCTTGGGCACTGCTAAGGACAGAGAATATACTAATATCTCAAAGTATCAGTGAGGTAAGGAAATATATTTCCCGTCAACCATTACAGAGGAAACTGAGGCTATGGGCAAGTGATTTCTTCAAGGTCACGGGGTGAGCCTAATGAAGGGCAATATTCTGGCATACCGACCCATTTAGAACAGAAGAAGACCCTGTGGATGGTGTGATCAACAGTTAACTAATGTTGGAAACTGAGGTCCAAAGTGACTTGCCCAAGGTCACAAAGCTGGAAAAGGCAGGTCCACGTCTAAAACCCAGAGCCCCAGCTTCCCTACTCAATGTTTTATCTTCTTCTACAAGCCACATTTTGGCCACAGTGTGATTTTTATTGTCTTAATATTTTTTCTTTTATTTAATCTTAGAGCCCCAGGCTTCATTCATTCATTCACACTTTCACACAGTCACAAGAACCCAGATCACTCTAGTGACCTCAGCAGGACAATTGCCAGCCAGGACCCTGTCCCTGGAGCCCACCTTCAAGATCAGCCAGGTCCCGGTGGGTTTGGGGGCTGGATGGTTTCCATCGCACCCCTCCTCTCCTCTGCCCTCCGGAGCTTTCCTCGTCCTCCTTGTCCTCCTCCCCCCTCCCGCCACCGAGGAGTGGTATGTGCAGGATCAGAGTTCTGGAAAGGTTACACCCGGGTTCTCTCGCCCGGGTGAAATGTGAGCGCCCTGGGCAAGGGCTCCTTGCACATAGAAGGACCGAATCCCGGACTCCGCATGCCTCGCTCCTCGCTCTCCAGCCACCAAGTGCTGGAGAAGCAGCCCCAGCCCGCCCCTCCCCCGCCCACCTGTCGCCACCACCCACCCTTCCGTCAAGGCGGGCCGCAACACCTCCCCGCCCCCCACTCCGGCCACATTGCTTCGGGTCAGCGTCACAGTCCAGGCTCCCGAAATAGCCCGCAGCTAGAGCGTCGACTCACCCACTGGAGAACTTTGATGAAGCCCAGCGGCTCCTCCAGCCGCCGCCAGCGCAACCCCACCAGCAGGCGGTCCACCTGCGGAGACAGGGCCGGCGGAGTGTCAGGGCGGTGGGGGAACCCAGGAAAGCGCTGGTCCTCTTCCCACTCACATTCGGGGGAGGGGGCGGAATAAGGGTCCGGCCTGACCCCCAGGTGGAGAAGGGGTGGTAAGACAGCCCCAGGGGCGCGCGGGTAGTACCTGCTGGCGCGGCGACTTGTCCGCCGCCGGACTCGAGCCCTCCGTCGAAGACATGCTGGCAGAGCGGGGCCGGGGCGCAGCGCCGGGGCTCGGTTCCCTGGCCGGGAGGCTGCGGGTACCGCGGTGGGACGAGGGGCTGCTGATCGGCCGCGGGGACAGCGAGCTGTGCGGGAGAGCGGGCGGCCGTCGGCGGCCGGGGCTCCAGACTGGCGGGGCGGATGGCGGGGGCGCTGCAGCTGGCGCTCGCCGAGGTCGGGACCGCCGCTCTGCCCCTCCGGCTGCAGAAAGCCCCCGAGTCCGATTCAAACTTCTGTCAAACTCCCGAGCGCACTTGGCAGTCGAGTCACGTGGCGTGCGCTCGCTAACCCTCCTCCCGCCCCCTCTGCCCAGGGTTGGCCCGCAGGGCGCCTTAAAGGGACCTGTGGCCTCCGCGGACAGTTCGGCCGCGAGGGGGCACAAGTTCCTGGTCAGAAGCCTCCGGGGCCAGTCTCAAGCCCTATACCGCCGCCGCTCCAAGTCGCGGCCCAAGTAGGAACCAGCCTGGACGCACCGCGGTTCCTAGTTCATCTTTCCCCTTTGGCCTGGATTTGGGGCCGCTCTGCTCCGTTTTTTTCTTCTTCCGCACCACAGTACCCAGAATCTACACCATTTTCATAAAGCATGATCAGCGTTGATACAAGGTTCTGAACCTTACGGTTAACAAACTGCTTGCTTTCAAAAAGCTCCGAGAGCCCCTGCAGAGGGGAAGGGCAATAGAACAAAAATCGCTCACTTTTTATTCCGTTTAGTTAGGTGTCGGTTTAATTTCTTTTTAACAAAAGATATTCATAAGTTGGTGACAACAATTATTAATCTTTAGAAAGTATAAATTCATTTTCCTTTATAATAGACGTCACCATTTAAATGGGAATGAGAACAGTCTTTGAGGAATAGGGGGTTTGGAGAATATTTGCAATGAAAAGTTGACATTGTTGTGTTATGATTGACCTTAAATCGATCCCTAATTTTCAAAAAAGTGTTTGGCAGGAGCCCTGAGTGGCCAGCCATGAATATTACACGTTCGGTTTACTTTATTGTAAACAGTGAAAGGTTAAGTGATTTGTCCAAGGTCACTGAGTGAGCCAGGGAGCGGCGGCCAGGACAAAACCTGCCTGTGCCTCCGAAGAATTTACTTCTAAGTATGTATCCTTCCCCTCACGAAGTCATTATTGGAGGTCCCCTTTGATGCTTTAGAATGACTACTTTTGGAACAAACATTTAGCTATTATTAAGACAATTCAATCCCCCATTGAGTAAGTGCCTTACCACGGTTCGGGTAGGAAGGCGTGGCTGGACTTGAAGGAAACTTCTCCAGCGTATTTCCATGCAAATCTGGACGAAATAAGAAACAACAGAGTTCCCAATCCAATTTTTAACAAATTGTTCTGCAGTTTTAGCTCCTTAACTGTAGAATTGGAATAATAATAATATTAACTGCCCTACTTACTGCATAAGGATTAAGTGGTGTGATGTGTAAATGCCCACACTATACAAATATGAACTGTTATTAATGTTTACAACAATATGCATACAGAATAGAACACCATCAGAAAATTCAGAATAATACAGCAAAAATCCCACACATCTACGAAGTAGCCTTACTAAATTTTAACACTTTTCCTTCTTTGCCTCAAACCCATTCTTTAACAACAACAAAAAAAGCATATAAAAACAAAGCTCTGTGTTCTGATATCATTCCCTCCCTCTCTCCTTCCACTCCAGAAGTAACCACTATCCTATCCTCTATTTTTTTTATCAGCTTCATACATATTTTAATACTTGTACTGTAGAATGACTGTATCTGCAAACAATAAATTAAAATTCACCAGACTTACTATTGTTTTTCACATGATTTTAAATTTTATCTAAATATTGGGCTTTAGGTGACCTTCTTTAACTTGTGGGTTTGTTTGTTGTTTTTTTATTTTTTTTTTATACTCAGTGGTGGATTTACAAGAGTCATCTGGCCAGGTGTATGTACCTTTAGTCCCTTCATTTTAACTATAGAGAATTCCACAACATACATATACCACTATATTATTCTCATATTGATGGGCATTAAGGTGATTTCCAAAGATATACTTTTACAAGCAGAGTTGCATTGAATTTATACATATGTCCATAGTCGCCACACAGTCCTGAATTTCCAAATTTCTTTCTTTTTTTCCTCCTTAAACACAAACCCTGGTAAAAAACAAGTTTTTAAGTCATGACCCACTGTATAAAATGAAACAAATGTTTCATAAACCATTCTCATTATTTTCTATTACATTTCATTAAAAAAAAAAATCTGGCCATCTGGAGGCCAATCTAGGTTTTGTCTAAATTTACCTAAAATTTATATAATTTGGGGGTCCCCTGTAGAAAAAGAATATACAATTATGAATACAAAATTAGTAACCAGGACTTGAAAGACTTTGCAAGTGAGGGAGCCTGAAGCTTCACCACCATTAGTTTCAGAGTAAACGCGCCTCTAGAAGTCACACTAGATTGCTTTAATGGTTCACTAACAATGGGTCTTTACCAGCAGTTTGATAAACATTCCTCTATATCTAAAAGCTAGCGGGCTAGGACAGAAGACTCGAACATTTCACCTTTAAATTTTGATAAATGTCTGTACCCATGTAACCACCACCAAGAGCCAGATATAGAATATTTCTATCATTCCAAATAACTCATTCTTGCCCTTTTGTAATCAATCCCCCAGCAATTACTGATCTGCTCTCTGTCATTATAATTTAATTTTGCTTTATTCTAGAATTGCAAATGAGGGGAAGTACGCACTATGTACTCTTTTGTGTCTGGCTTTTTTCACCCAGCCTAGTTTTTGAGATTCATCTATATTGTTGTACTTATCAGTGGTTTGCTCCTTTTTGTTGCTGAGTAGTAGTCCATCATATTATGAAATATGATCCATAACTGTGTATCTATTCAACTGCCAAAATACATTTGGGTAGTTCCTTTTCTTTTCTTTTTCTTTTTTTGCTATTATGACTAGACCTGACACAAACTTCATGTACAGATTTTTTAGTGAATGTAAGTATTTATCTCTATGGTAAATACCCGGAAGTGAGATTTCTGGGTTATATGTAAATACATGTGTTTAACTTTATATAAAAGTACCAAACTATTTTCAAGAGTGGCTGTTTCTTTTATTTATTTATTTATTTATTTATTTATTTATTTAATTTGACAGGCAGCAATCTCAAGTAGGCAGAGATGCAGGAGGAAGCAGGCTTCCTGCCAAGCAGAAAGCCCCATGCAGGGCTCAATCCCAGGACGCTGGGATCATGACCTGAGCTGAAGGCAGAGGCTTTAACCCACTGAGCCACCCAGGTGCCCCAAGAGTGGCTGTTTCATTTTGCTTTCCCATCAACAATGTATTCCAGTTGCATTACATCTTCTCCAGCACTTGGTATTATTAGTTGCTTTGGGTTTTTTTGTTTTTTGTTTTGTTTGGGTTGGGTTGAGTTTTTTTTGGTGGGGGGGTGTTCGCTTATTTGTTTTTTTAACCATTCTGAAAGGTATGTAGTGGTATCTCTTTGTGGTTTTAATTTAACCCTGATGGCTAATGATGTAAAGCATCTTTTAACGTGCTTATTTGCCATCTGTGCATCTTCAGTGAAGTGTCTGTTCAAGTCTTTCGCCCATTTTTAAATTGGGCTGAGTTTTGAGAATTCTTTATATACTCTGAATGTAAGTCCTTTGTTGAATATGTGATTTACAAATACTTTCTCCCAGTCTGTAGTTTGTCTTTTTCATTCTTTTAATTGTCTTTTGCAGAACAACATTTTACATTTTGGTGACATCTATTTCACTATTTTTTAAAAATGGCTCATGCTTTTGGCATTATGTTTAATCACTCTCTGCTTAACCTTAGATCACAAATATTTTCTCCTTCATTTTATTCTAAATGTTTTATAATTTTATTTTTAAGTTATTTTTTGTATAAGGTATGGGATTTAAGTGAGGGTTATTATTATATTTTTTGACATGTAGATATCCGGGTGTTCTAACACCAGTTTTTGAACACACTATTCTTTCTCCTTGCTTTTGCACTTTTGTTTAAAAAAAAAAAAAAATCAAGGAGCGCCTGGGTGGCTCAGTGGGTTAAGCCTCTGCAGTCAGCTTAGGTCATGATCTCAGGGTCCTGGGATCAAGCCCCGAATCAGGCTCTCTACTCAGCAAGGAGACTGCTTCCCCCTCTCTCTGCCTGCCTCTCTGCCTACTTGTGATCTTTCTCTCTGTCAAATAAATAAATAAAAATCTTTTTTAAAAAATCAGTTGGCCATATTTGTGTGAGTCTATTTTGGACTTTCTATTTAATCTATGTGTCTGTACTTTTGCCAATACCACATTGGCTCAGATACTGTAGTTTTCTAGTAAATCTTAAAATAGGCTAAAATGATTCCTCCAACTTTGGTCTTCTTCAAAATTGTTTTAGTTATCTAGTTCCTTTGCCTTTCAAAATAAATTTTAGAATCAGTTTGTCTATATCTACAAAAAAATTCTGCTGGGATATTGATTAGAATTGCATTAAATCTATAGATCAATTTAGAAAAAATTGACATCATTACTATGTTGCATTTTCTAGTCCATGAACACAGAATGCCTCTCCATTTATTTAGGTCTTATTTGATTTCTGTATTAGCACTGGCAGTTTTAAGCACACAGCATTCATGTACAATTTTGGTAGATTTATACCTGAATATTTAATTTTTGGGACCCACTATGAATGGTATTATTTTATTTTTTTAAAAGATTTTATTTATTTATTTGACAGACAGAGATCACAAGTAGGCAGAGAGACAGGCATAGAGAGAGGGGGACGAAGGCTCCCCGCTGAGCAGAGAGACAGATGCAGGGCTCGATCCCAGGACCCTGGGATCACGACCTGAGCCGAAGGCAGAGGCTTTAACCCATTGAGCCACCCAGGTGCCCCAAATGGTATTATTTTATTTTATTTTATTTTTTTTTTTTTTTTAAGATTTTATTTATTTTTTTGTCAGAGAGAGAGAGAGAGAGCGTGAGAGTGAGCACAGGCCGATAGAGTGGCAGGCAGAGGCAGAGCGAGAAGCAGGCTCCCTGCTGAGCAAGGAGCCCGATGTGGGACTCAATCCCAGGACTTTGGGATCATGACCTGAGCCGAAGGCAGCCGCTTAACCAACTGAGCCACCCAGGCGTCCCGCAAATGGTATTATTTTAAATTCAGGTTTCCATTTGGCAATTTCTAGAAACTTGTATTTTTCTATTCACCTAGTATCCTATGAAATTTCTAAACTTGTGTTTTAGTTTTA